TGACGGTTTGAGAAACGGATGATTTTAATTTAAAAAAAAAAAAAAAAAAAAAAAAAAAAAAATACTTCTTGTACGACTTCATCCACCGAGGGTTCTGGGTTCTGCACAGGCGACAACCGCTTTTCCGGGCGATCGGTATTGCTAATTATAATACGTGTTTTATACATTTTTTATATATATTCATCGTATACGTACACCGACGACAAAGGCGCTTGTTTTCAGCTTGGTTTTTTTTTTTTATAACGCCGTTAAAAAAATATATACCACTGTATAGTTGTGTACAAAATGTTGTTTGTTTTATAATCAATTGTGTATAGTATAAAATTTGACGAAAAAAACTGACAAAAATTTTTAGTTGCCGTAGCGGTATTGTTTTTAGGCGATTACACGATGTGGTGGTTCTGCTATAGTATTTATGTTACATTATTATTAGTATACATTTACGGTTCGGGTAGTTCGAACGGGCTGCACGTACCCGGGGTTTTTCCGGGTGGTAGGCCCCCGACGCGCCCTGGTGACAGCAACCCCCCCCCACTCCGAGAATTTATCGTTCTAAAAAAAAAAAAAACGTTAACTTCGAATGCCGCAGAGGCGCTAAGCGAAACGGTGAAGTTTTCGGGAAACGCGTACGGCCCGACGGTTGGCGTGTTTTCGGGAACGGAACCGTCATCGCGGTCATCGCGACAGAGCGCGTCGTCCCGAGCGTGTTCTAATAACGTGCTGATCGTTGACGTGTACCGGTGTTGTTGCAGATGATAAAATGGGTACTGATCGTCAGCTTGGGGTGCTGCGCGCTGATGTACAGCGCCAGCTCGTCGCCCATCGCTAGCAGCAGTACGACAGCCGAACCGGAAAAGAACGAGCAGTCGGGAGCGTCAGCCGCCGTCGCCGAGGCGTCCGAAAAGTTGGTGGCCACGTCGCCGGACAGCGGCCGGCAGTCGGCCGAGGTTTCGGCCTCGCAACCGGCCGCCGTGTTCGAACCCGAGGCCGCTCCGGCAGCTCCGTCCGCCCCGGTGCCGGTAGCCCCGTCGTCGTCCACCGACGATGACGACGACGACGACGACGACGACGACGACGATGACGTCGACCTGGACATTACCGGGGACGACGACGATGACGACGACGACGACGACGACGACGACGACGACGACGACGACGAGGAGGACGACGAGGAGAGTGACCCCGCCCCGGCGGCCAGCGCCAATTCGGTAGCCGGCGAGCCGGCCGGCACCGCGTCCGGCGCGAACGCTGCCGCCGCACCGGCGGCGACGTCATCGTCGTCGAACGACGATGACGACGACGACGACGAAGACGAGGACGACGATTACTTCGACCGTTTCTTCGAAGACATCCTCGGAGGTCAGTGCACAAAATATCGTTACGATAACGCAATAACATAATAAAATACATCGTTATCGTTATTTTTAGTACGCTTTCGTCAGCCGCACGTTAGGCGTTTCGTTCGAGTTCTTTTCGCACGCATGCACGGGGATAGAAAGCTTATTTTTGGTGTTTTTTTCCCGAATTTTTCCGCCGACCGGCTACGGTTTATCATCGCGGGGAAAACGCGTAACGCGAGTAGAAATCCGACGACGTCCGTCGGCGTCGAGCCGTTAACCTAACCGTCCGAAATCGCGTCGCGCGCTCCAACCGAACAGCCGCATTATCGTCCGCTTCGCGTCTCGCCCGAAACCGCATCGCTCCGCGGGATCGCTGTCGAGCGACACCGTGTTATGGTTATTGTAAATAACGATAACACGGTCCGTTCGCGGTTTTCGCGGGACGTCGGATTGAACGACGGTTGACAATAACGTTACGACGGACACACTGTCGCGCCACCGTTCGCTATCGTCACCGTAGCGACTGTCGCGGAACAACCGCGCCGCCCCGCCGGACCCCGCGACCGCGCGAGACGATAACGCCCGCGTCCCGTTTCCGTTTCCGTGGATTTCCCGACGTTTTAACGTTTTCGCGCGCGTCCCCGGGAGACGGCCGCGCTCGCGTGTACAGTTGTTGGCGACGTTTTTTTTTTTTCCCGTAAAACGTGCATAAGAACGCCGCCGCGTTTTCACCGCCAACGACAATAGCCGCTGCCTGGTTTTTATCATTTTATACGGCGAACGGAGATCGGATCCGGTCTTTTCCCGCAGTTCGCCCGCGATTAAACCGTTAAAACGCGCAACCGAAATCTGCGTCGAAAGTAAACCGGCGGGACGGGGGGAGCGCGAGAGGAACGGACAAACGAAATTTCTCCTTTCTCGAGTCGCGCGCTCCCTCCGCGGACGAAAAAAAAAAAAAATAAAACCATAAACCAAATAAATAACCCGTCACTTCCCGTAATTTCCACGGTCACGGGCCGTCCGGTAACCAGAACCGCATCCGCGCACGAGCGTCTTTCTCGCGCCGAACTCGCAACGTGATGGGAAAAAAAAAAAAATAATAATAATAATAAATCCACGCGTCTTGCCCGCGAACGATACGCGCCCGCGAGGATCGTTGCCGGTGTTATCCGCGTGTGTTTTGCGTTTTATTGTTATTTCGTTCGCTGCTTTTTTTTTTTTCTTCTCCCGTTATTATTTTCCATTTCATTCTTGCTCTTCCGCTTCTGCTTCCCCGTCGCTCCGACGGGGCCGCCCGCTCGCTTTGCACGTCCGATAACGGCGACTCCGCCGCGAACAATGATATTATAAATATTCATAATAACAACAACAATAATACACTGGATCGTTGACACCGGGCACCGTCGGTGCCTGTACCTCGTATCACATTGTTATCACAAAAGCACTGCGCATAATAACGACAGCGGTTAACGCACGGGCGCGCGGTAACGCTATTCGAGTACCCGTGGGTACCGGTGTTACCGCAACGAATCGCAAAAACTGCCGCTGCGAACGACGCGAAACCGTAAAACACGTATGAACAACATCACGACAATATTTATTCTCAAATGGTTTTTGTGTAGTGTCGCCGTTCTATTGAACACGTTGTCTGCTTTCGACCGTCGCGCACGCTTGTTTCGCAACGACACCGGTCGCCAGACCGCGGCTTTTCGCCGCCGTTTTCGCGTTCGCGGTAACGTCGAAACCGTCGAAACAGTTACCGTAACCCCGTCGACGCGGTTCCCGCGGAAATTCGTGTCCCGGATGATCGTGTTGACCGCGGTACCGGCAGAGCGTGGCGTCGCAAACAACCGGCGGACGCCCGCGGGTCAGTCGACGTCGTGGGTTTCCACGACGCGAAAACATTTTCGTCCGATAGCTTCCCGCCGCAGCGGCGGGCGTCGGTAAATTCGCCCCGGAATTTCGGGGGGGGGGGGGGGGGGGGGGGGGTTGAGGACGCGCGATCGCCGGTATGACACAGTCGCCACGAACCCATTTCGACGGGTGTACGGGATACGGGCGGGAACGATTTTTCAACGAGAACCCGCCCTACCTCTACCCGTACCGCGGGACGCCCAGCCGGCAGATAACGACGCCGGGACGCGAATAATTTTTCGTAATTTTTCTCTTTCATTTTTTCGTCCACCGGTTCAAACGGCCTTTTCGTACGCATTTCCGTATACCGTATCGATTCTGCGGGATCGAATTTTTTTTTTTTTTTCTTTATTTCGTTTTTCCCGCCATTGTGCGGGCCTAGGGGTTTGGGGCGGACGCGTATGTAGCATGTCGCACGCAAATTATATGAATACCTACAGGCATCTTGGAATTTATGACACGAGCGTAATTTTGGCATTGTGTGTCTGTTTGTTTTTTTTAGGTTGATCGAACCCGATCGACCGCGGGACACTAACAATTATACAGAAACATAACATCAAGAAACGACAATATTTTACACACATAAAAAATAAATCTATGTGTGCGCCCTATACGTACACTTGTATATTGACATTGTGAAAAACGACATCGTGAAACTCATCTCACTACTCTTAACGGACTCGATTATACACAAAAAAAAAAAAAAAAAAAACGAAACTTATTTATTTATTTATTTATTTATTTATTTATTAATAATTTATTTTAGTTTTAATAGAGAATATTCGACATTATTTCAACGCTATATTAATATAATACACGTATTATTTTTATTTTTTTTTTTTTTTCTTACGCACATATTATTTATTTCTATGTACTAAGTATATATATACACCTATATACTTTATAATATAATAAATATTTATTTACGACAATTTGTTACCAAACCCGAACAATAATTCCACTCGAATGACGAATCCGTAATATTGAATATTATAATGTGTCGTCCCGATACAACGGTCCGAAAATGAAAAAAAAAAAATAAACATTTATTATATGTAAATTCGTGTTCAATATAGCGTAAGATTTTATTATAATAATATATTATTATCATATTGAGTGTCATATATATATATATATATATACATAACGAATTATTATTATTATTATTATTAATGTTTTTTTTTTTATCAAAAAGTATAAGAAAAAAAAAAAAAAACATGGCTGTGATAGCAAAATATTTCAGCAAAAAATAAACAGATTTTTGAATACGTTGAAACGATGATATTTTTTTATAATTTTTTTCTACGACAATTCCCATACACTGTCCGCAAAAATATTATTACGTACATGTATAGTATTATTTTTTTTCTCCCGTGGTACGTTTATATATGATTATTATAAACATAAAAAAAAAAAAAAAAAAAAAACAAACGAAAACCGGTGAAGGTATACCCAAAACACATTCACACATACATAATACACACGAGTACAAAATTGTTTTACGTAACGCTTAACTGTGCGTGGTGATTTTGGTATACGCGGACGATGGTGGTGAAGTGTGCTGGACCGCAGGAAGCCCTTGTACCTGCGATCTAAAGTCTTGTATCTTATAAAGCGTTTCCTGTCCGCGCGCTAACTCGAAGCAGAACTTCAACGCCCCCGCTCTAAGTAAATATGACGTTACATACATCGTGTACACTACTGGCCACTGGTGTCTTGCGGCAGTGGCGGCGCGAACCCCCGCGGTCCCCGGGGCACAAAGCGTACGCTGTTTTCCGGCGTCCCCTCTCTATTCCGCCCCGGAGCTGCGCGTGTTATGATTATTTAGATTTTTCTCGATAATTATATCACGCGACGCGCGGTCCGTCCGCGGAGCGATAACCGCCACGGATTTCTCGTCCCGCAGCCACTGTCCCGAGTGACCAGCGCAGACGGACCCGTATCGCTTGCGAAAACCCGACGGTCACGTTAAGCGGGCGTAACCGTGCGACAACCGCGACATTCGCTACCGGCGAGTGCGGTTTACGTCGTTTTTTTTTTTTTTTTAAATAATTATTACTACTGCAGCCACGTATACGGAGATTCGGTCGGAAATCACAGGCGCGCGCCTCGATAAACTTCACGAAGTTTACACGCGCGCGCCGAGTAGGCGAGAAGTACGGGTTTGTCCTGGTGGTCGTGTGCGAATCGCTTTTTTTCTTTTCTTTTTTTTTTTTTTTTTTTTTTTTTTTTTTTTTATCCATAGCATTATTGTGTACAGATTATATTACGATATGTGATTTATCCATGGTAAACATACCGGGACGGGTCAGGTTAGGTTAGGTGAGGAAAGGATATGACCTGACCCAACCTAATCTCTTCCGTGACGATATAATTTACACGTGTCCGTTGTTATTGTTGTTGTTGAAACGTGCAGACGAAGAGGAAGAGGACGAAACATCGTCGCTGAGCACGCTGGTGTTCGGCGCGTCGGCCACGACGGCAGCGACGCCGGCACCGGCGCAGGGCCTGTCCGTACCGTCGGCGGTTGACGACACGTCGGACTACGGGTCGGCCAACGAAGCAGGCGCGGGGGGCGAACAGTCGGCCAATGTCAACTACGACGACAGCGCGGACGACGCGTCGTCTTCGTCCGCGTACGCGGACCCGGCCGACGGGCCGCACACCGTCACGCTCCTGTCGCCCGTGCCCAACGACGACGAGCTGGCCGACGGTAACGCGGCCGCGTCCGCCCCGTCGTCCGTCCAGGCGGTCGAGTCCAACAGCATCGCCGCAGCCGCACCGCCAGCCGCCTCGAACCCGCCGGCCAACGCTAGCGACGACGACGACGACGACGACGATGACGACGACGACGACGACGACGACGACGACGACGCTTCGTCCGCGATTTCGGGAGCCGGCGCCGGCGGCGATAGCGACGACGACGACGACGACGACGACGATGACGACGACGACGACGATTCCGCCGAAACGAGGACCGCGGCCAGGAGCCGAGCGCGTGAGTGCATAAAAACATACGGTATGACGGGTAACGTCACTCGGGCCGCCCCCGTAACGTTTGTTATCGTAACGATATCGTTTACACGTTTAAGAACGTATTTTAATTCGGTCCTCGAGACCGCAGCCGATTACGCGGCCGTCGAAACCGGGGAGTATGGGAAATTGTCGGACACACTTTGCACCGTAGGTAGGGTTACTGTTTGACGGCGTGGGATATTATAGGGGGCGCTGACGTTACGTTCGATGTCGCACTGCCGTAAGCGGCGGTGTACCGTCGAATAGCGACGTGACGATTGAGAGTAGCCCGCGAAGCCGACGGACTCCTGAGGGAAAACCCCTCGGGTCCGAGTCCCGCGTACGGAATTCGAAACTTGAAAATCCGAAACAGAAAAACCGTTCACCGCTCTGTATGCGCGTGCCGGCAGATATCCTAAAGCGAAAAGACCGAATGCGGTTACGGTGGCGCGCCGTTCTCGCGGCGCGCCGCCTGTTCGGACAGCCGAACCGGCCCGCGAACACGGTACACGACGAAAACGTTTGATTTTCGCCAGACACGACGGCGCGTCGTCGGCGGGGATCTGATCCGAAACGCAAACGTATCGAAACGGGGCACGGGTAGCCGACCGCCGCGAGCCGTTCGCCCGTGTACGGCAACGTTTAACGCTCTAACGCGATAACGCTAATATCGTTAAATGGATAAACCCCCCCCCCCCCCCNCCCCCCCCCGTCTCGGGTCTTGACAGTCGGTAAGTCGCTATACATCGTAAGTGCTTTTATTATGCGTTCGGGAATAATCAACGGGAGGGGATGTAACGAATACGAACCGTGAAAAAATAGTAAAACCGTCGTCTCTACCGAAACCCGACTATGGGAATCGGTAATTTAAAATCCGGATCCTGAAAAAAAAAGCCGATTTCTAATCAATACACCGAGCTTGTTCTCGGAAATCGGCCGAAATTCACGAGTTTCGATACTAGAACACTCGCATTTCGTTGCATGCCCATTCAAGCCAACGGAGCGGGGAGGGCGTAACGCCTGACCTCTCCTACCCCCCCCCCCCCGGGCACGCCACCGGTTCTATCGTGAGTATACGGCGGCGGCCGTACACACGGGATATTTAATTAAAACCGCCGGCGTACCGTGCGTGCGCAACGTAAACGTCCGACAACACGCGCCGCGAACGGCCGTCTTTTACAAATGATAGTCGTCGTTCGGTGTCTGCGTTCTGAAACGACGACGGTCCGAACGGGGGGCTTACCCCGACCCCGAGTTTCGGTGTGTGCCCGCGACTCGACCGGTCGCCCGCGCCTCGCCGCCGCGGTGGTCCCCGGGAAGCTCGCGCGGCGATTGATCGTCGGCCGTTAACGCGCGCGTGTGCTGACGCCCGCGCCGCGAGCGAAATAATTAATCGCGCGGGTGCGGGCGTGTGGGTGCACGCGCGCGGCCGGGCGCGAGAACCGTTCGTCCCGTTTCGACGGCACGTGCGTTTTCGCGAAACGGGACGCCCGTGCAACCGCACCAAACTGAACGTCCGGATTGCCGTTCGCGAACACGCACGCCGTAATAGCAACGTTATTACGCTCGCGTCCGAAAACGTGCGCGCGCGCGCGCGCCGTCCCGGTGTAACATCGCGGGTAGCCGACGCGATAACAATAGCGCACGCGACGACAATGCAAATTATTCGTTTCGGTGGCGGACGCATTTTTCTCGCGATATCGGTCGTCGATACCGTCGCCCGCGAAATGCCCGGGCGCTCGTAGCGCCCGGGGCTCGCGGTTGTCCTAGAAAATCGCGTTTACGTTCCGGGCACTACGTTCGTTTTCGCCATCGTTTCCGCGGACGCTTTGCGCCACAATGCGGCGCGCGCGTTCGCGGGGCTGTCGCTCGGTCGGGGGCCTCGCTTCCCCGCTCCCCCGCTCCCCCCCCTCCGTTACTGTTAATATTAACGTCCGCCGTTCGTCAGGCGTCGTCGCGGTTCGGGACGCGTAAATCGAAACGGATCCTCGGACGTAAAGTCGCGATGTACGCGTTTCTCGTTCCGCGGCGCGGGTAGAACCGTTACGAGTATCGCGCGCGCGCGCGTTATAACCAGTATTTCGGAAACCGCCCGAAATAACTGCGCGTGCTAAAAAAAAATCAGAAAAAACCGTTGTTACTGCACACGAGTTACGTACACGCACGATAACATTACCACATCTCATTATCGTGCCATAATAATGTGTACCGCGGGCGGCACCTCACGATCATAATTATTGTGAATTAACGGATTCTCGAAATAACCTGTCCCGTCCGGTCGGTCCGTCCGCGATCGTTTAACCGCGGCACGGCGTCAATCGCGTGTCCGCTCAATGAAAAAATCCGACACCGGAATTCTCGCATTTCTACTCGCGAAACCCGGATTTTTCCGTCCACGTACACACGCACGGCGGTGAATATCGTGGACAAAGACGTGCCCGTATCATCTAATATTCTATGCAATATTTATGGGACGGCCCAACGGCGAATGTATCCCAGTTTCGGGGATAGGTGTGGGGGTGGGGCGAATTTTAAATCCGCGACGGCAACGGGATAGTTGTATCCCGTCTTTCGAGTATCGTCGTGTCGTGGGTGCGATATAGCGGCGGCGAAAACCCCGAGGGGAAGATCGATCGGCGGATCGCTCCTCCCTGCCGGGGCAATCGGAATTCCGATGCGAGTGCCCGCTCATTAGTTAAAATTCCACCGCGACTCCTTTGGAAATCCCGTCTGTCCGTCCGTTTTCGACACAACCCGTGGTAACATGTTTCTCTTCGCGCTATACGATTTTGTCCAAAACCGGTGTCGTACAACACACACACACCGTCGTAGTGTGTTTTACGTTTTTTTTTTTTGGAAAACCGTCGAGAATCCAGAATAATCTGTTTACGACGGGTGAGGTGTACGTACACTGTATGTGAGAGTTTTCAGAACGTTTTCGCCAACAGAACCTAAACTTGTGCGCGCGTGTATTTCGTTTTCTCTATCGAAGATGACAATAATTGAATTGCCTCTAAAATAATTTATCTATCGATACATTTTTGCACGCACTAGTTTTACAACGTGTTTCGAGTTTTTTCCTGTCCATAAACAACTTGTCTGCCATCGAAACACATTTAATTCAATAATGTTCGGTTTTGAAATCGACTTGAAAACTCCGTCTATAAAAATGTAACTGTATAATTGCTATCTAATTATTTGTTTTTTGTTTTCAAAATCTAAACGAATTCATTAGAAAAAAAAAAATTCGAATAAATTATTAGCATTTAAAAATTGTATCCTTCTTTTTTTTTCTTTTTTTATTTTTATCGCCAAGTGTGTTTTATATTTTTATTTAGATATAATTTACGCTTTTCAACGTCTTTTATCTTTATCTAGATACGTTTTTTTAATTGTATTTCCGCCGAACACTGGCCGTTCGATAAAAATACACACGCGTTCGCGATGTTTTCCACAGTCGGTACAGACCGCGGAGCGCCGGACGAAAGCCGCGCACATTGAATAAATTTGATTATTATTGCGCTTGAACCGTGTACCGCCGTCGGTCGCGTTGCGGTCGGATTAAAAAAATAATAATAATCCGGCGCGCTTTCACGGCGAGACTCCGGCAATAGATTTTATCCGATATTCGGGCATGGCCGTGGTACGCCGAGTTGTCCATAACCTAACCTATACCGCGGACGATCCGGCCCGCCGCCGCGGAGAGAGGTGGACACAAACAAATAGAGAGAGAGAGAGAGAGAGAGTGAGTGAGTGAGAGAGTCACGTCGCGGCAGCGGCGATTTAATAATAATAATAATATATCCGTCTGCATAATTAACCGTACGGTCCCCGCGCGCGCCCTCCCCTCGTACCCCGCCGCCACCCCCCCCCCCGATCGCGCCCGTCCCACGGTATTCCGGAAACCTACATCCGGATCTCGCGTACGTGTCCTTTGGCGCGCCCCCGCCCGGCTCCGCCGACCGCCGCGGTCACCGTAGCCGCCAAACGGGTTCAAGGATGTGACCCCGATACGGGTCGCGGCCACGTAAGTATAATAACAAATACGTGTCGACCACGTGGGCGTGCCACAGTGACCGCCGACGGACGTCGGGATCCTGTGCAACGCCCGTAGAAAGCAACCGGAATCCTATTAATGGTGGCCGCGCGGCGTCCCACGAAAATCGTTTCTCCAGAAAACTGGTACTTTCTAAACGACCGGCAGCGGCGGCGGCAGCCGGCGCCTCCGGGGAAATTTCTCTCCGTACCGCTATGATGCAATTAGTGACTTTTTCTATTTTACTTTTAACGCCGCTCGTACGCCACTTATACGCGTATTTACATTTTTTACCGGAGTTTTTAATAGCTTCAAAACACTTTTTATACATATTTTTTTTTTTTTTAATAGCTACCTACCGGTTTTTATCTATTAGATTATAGCGACCTCGACGAATATATTAATATAATTGTCCGACGAAATCGACCTTTATTATTTTTTTGTTCGTAAAATCGGATTTACGATCGTCAATTTTTTTTATTTTAATTTTTTTGTACCTACGTTATAAAATTTACGTTTACTAGTGCGCGTCATAAACGTCGAATAATTTTATTACCCGCGTAAATCGAAAAGGAAAAAAAAAAACTATAGCGCAGGACGAGACATTAGACGGCGTTAATACAACGATAATAATATAATTATTCCAATTACTCAATGGAGGGACGAAATATGTTAATTTATCGGATAATTGAAAAGGTAAATTGAATCAGTCGTTTCGAAAATGCCATTTCTCCATACTTTTTCAAAACCGGTTTTATGCGATAGATGTGTTTAACGAATAATAACGCATACTTCCGATATCTCCGACAATTCGTTATGGTCTAAATTTAATGGGTGCGCTCGAAAAGGCCATTAACTCCAAAATATTATTATCAGTAATATTATTCGATGACATTGTATGATCAACTGGTTTATTGTCCAGCAGTTGTTGACAACAGTAAATTATTATCTGTTATCAAATTAAAATGTATAATTTGATCGTAAACCCAATTTTCGCTATCATTTTCTTACTTTTATTGTTAATAATTCTAAACGTTTTTATACGCTTCCTGAACATTTTCATTTTACGGAGAAATGGTCTTTTCGAAATGACCAATTCAAATTATGGTATTAGATAAATCGGTTTAAATAAACGAATATCCAAATGATAAATTAATTGAAATTTAAATCTGCTCGTTTTCTATCAGTTATTCATTTAAAATATTTACGTAGAGGTATATTAAAACATTTTAAAATTAATAACCGATTCATTGAAATTAATTAAAATATTCATTATATTATAATCAAAAGAGTTCGGATGTTGTAACCAGAGGGGTATAACGGGATTTTGCGCCCCTTTATCGAAAACTCAACACTGATGACGTCATATAAAAACATATTATGCGTATTTTTTTTTTTTTATTTAAAGTACGAGTTGGTTCAATGTATATCAGAAATATATCCGGCTATACAACTTGTGGCTTCATAACACATTAAACGAATCAAATAAACGACCTGAACGAAACCGTGTTTATTGCTTATAACTTGTCGTTTTTCTCCTTAATTATTAATGAAACTAAAAGGAATATCACAAAATGACCGCATCGGTGCACCGACTGGACAAAATTTGTTTTATAGAAAATATACTACAGTCGATGACCGGAGTGATGAGATTTCAAGTGGGAAAATTCTGTACAGACGCGAAAAAAAAGCGCACATATTATTATATATACCAGAATCTAAAATCTAAAATCCTAAAAAAATTACCAATAACATTATTCGTCATATCATTATTCAATTCAATATCGGAAATTAATTGTTATGAATGGTACGCGTTACAGTCAGTTAATAACGGCTATTTGTTTGTTTTTGTTTTTAGACATTGCAAGTAACTTTTAATCATTTTAAATATTTACGCCTACAACATCCGAAATCTAAACACTCTATAATAACACGTCGTCCAATCTACTTTATCGTGTACTATTTTCCAAAGTGTTTTCCATCATCACAGCAACAAATATTCACAACCGTCCTGAGAATGATTGTTTGAACATATTGTTTTCTTTTCTTTCAAACAATTATTATTTACGCTATAACACATGATAACTATGCGTACGGGAATATGTTCATACGCGTAGGAATAACATCGTACACAGGATGAGAATCGTTTTTATTTTTCTCATAATATAAAAGAAATATATACCTATACTTATTTGTAATTTTTCTGCTCGTTCGACTTGAACGGCCGTTCGCCAGAAATCAAAAAAAAAAAAAAAAAAACATTCAACTACCACTACGAAAATTGCAACGCAGTGGCGTAACGTTATTAAAGTAGGTAAGTTTTTTTTTTCCCTACACTCGCCGAATATCCGACGTGAGGATAATATTATTTTGTTTCTATTTTTATAAAAAAAAAAAAAATACATAAAACAGTTTGTTTATTGGCTGGCCGTGAATATATACGTTATACGTGCCTATCCCACGAGTTTTTATATCACAGTAGACACCTATTCCGTGAAATATTTCGAAATAATAACGACTTTGCGCGAAACGTACTTAAATGTCAACCTACAGGGTGTCATCGGACTACTCGACGATCGTAGACAACGCGAGTTTTTTGCTCGTATATTAGTTTTCTTCTCTTCTTATTCTTATCGATCTCGTCGGCCAATTCGGACCATACCGTTATCATAATATACTATTGCCGTCCATTACGTTACTCTAGTATTTCCCTCCATACACTCTTTTTGACTGTTTGGCCTCCACCATCTTTTCATCTCTCTAAACGCAGTTCTCGCATCTTAGCATTGGTCTTCGCAGATGCCCAATTCCGTCTATGGTCTTCCTCGGTCGGCTTTTTTTTAATCACCAACTCACGTTTTTGACCTGACAACGACCTTCTTTTCTAATCTCTTTTACATACTATATCTAGCCGTCGGAATAGAATTTTAAGTTCCTCGTGGTTTGTTCGTGTTATACTTACTAGATTATACATTTCTTTTTATCGATTTAATTCAAATTGTATACTGGGTAACGATAAAATTATATATCATTATACCGTACGGTATAATCGAATCCGGAAACTCGCGGACAGGAATATTAATACTGAAGGTAACAGAAAAAAAAAAAAACGATTCACAGTTTCGTGACACGAATGATGTCACAATCGGCGTAGCTCAACTCGATACGCATTGCACCAAAACGCACGTTAGTTTTATAGGTACACACACGCAGAGCCGGGGATCATTATCTCGTTTGGCCCGCAGCCCGATGAATTTGTCCAGGCATTATAATATTACATCCAAGTGGGTTTCGATCGTTCGAAAACAAAAACATAAAAAAAAAAACCATAGCGATTTTCTTCGTCCTGCTCCGTAACGATACTGTTCTTTTTGTTCGAAATTCCTTTTCGAGTCTTAAACGACGATTTGTCAACGCCAGGGGCGAGCGAAAAGAAAGAGAGTAAAAAAGGATACAAGCCACTGTCTACCCTCTATCCCCCCCCCCCTTACCCCGGGGAGCAATTCTCGAGGTATCCCAACGCCTAACCGTCTAATCTGACCTGACCGTCACCGTCGTCGTTAGGCGTGGGCACTCGGATTATTATTCCTCCGTCCGGCACGCCGGTACCCGAACGCGAAATACAACGACGACGACACCGCGGGGCCGGTGTACACCGAAAACACGGGGTTGCTACTCGACCGGCGCCGGGCGACGCGTTCATCGGCCCGGCGTAACAGACGGGTAGTGTTGCGCTAACGAGCCGGCCATGAATTATTGAACAGCCGAGCGACCGATTCGCGTACACGATATAATTATGATTATTACTATTGTATTTAAAACGCGAACGCCGTTTTATTATATTACCTGTATTATGCGGCCGCCTGTTTGTATTATTTTTTATTATGCGGAACGTTCACGCCGCGGTCGCGTGTTCCGTCCGTCGCCGCCGTGTTCGCGCAGGAATGCTGTTATCGAATATTAAGGAGGCCAAACTAACTGGTCGCGCGCCGCCGTCTCCGGTCCGCGAGCGTACCACTTATTATCATTATCATATTGCTATTATTATTATTATTATTATTATTATTATTGGTTCGTGGCGGCCGTCCCATTTCACGCGCACCTCGAATACACGTTTTTAATACACATATTAACAAGGCGCGTACACACCTCCGTATACCTACATCCAGGTCGAGCGGACGAAAAATCTCGATCCCTCGACAAGGCGTGTAATGTTATGCGCGCGCGCGCGCGTGTGTGTGTGTGTGCGTGTTCATTTCGAAGAAAAAGACAATATCACAGTATCAATAAGAGACTCGTTAAAACATATTTTGCACGGAGTGTCGCAACTGCACATGGATGTAAAACACGGTTCACAATCCGCAAAGGAAATTCCAGAAGCCTTTCAGATGTGGTTTTGGAGCCGAATGGAAAGCATAAATCGAACGGAGGGAATAAATCAAACGAAGAGGCGAAAAGAACAGTAAAAGAAAGTGGATTAGTACATTAGTGGACGCGATCAGAGCAAGGTGTAGGAAAATGGTTGGACACCCAAAATAGCTGCATAATATAATTATAGTAGGTACCGATAGATGGTAATAAAACTGCAAGACGTCCGCAGAATTCCTATGTAGGACAAATGAAAAGATATGCAAGAGTCAGAACCTCTTAAAGTAAAACCGAGCAATCGATTGGAATAGGAAAATCAGAGTTGTAGATCAACCTATGGGTAGATACAAATAATAAGAAAATGTGAGTGTGCCCCGGACGCATTTTCGATTTTCCAAATGCGAATTTAGGTTAAAAGTGGAAAAATGAACATAATTTCTGGTTTGTTGTAAATTCGCGTAGTAATATGCAGTGATGACAAATTAATTTTATATGTTTAAGGGTCGCGTTAAATTGACCGTCTCGCTTTACCACATACATACGAAATAAACGAGAATTTTTAAGTCTGTCAGGAATACAGGAATACATAAGAACTAGAGGATGTAGCGGAGGGAAAATTTAAAAGAAAGAATATATTGAACATGTTAGAAGAAAAACCGATAAGATAGTCAAACATAAAATAGTATAAATTTAAGCCGGGGACCGGTAAGCTGTAGAAAAAGCGGCTAGAAATATTGTAAGGATGATTTTGAGAGCATGTGGTGTCAATGAGGAAACGATGATCGATAAAAGAATGTGGAACGTGAGAGTGAGAAAAGGTCGTAATCCGTTTAAAATGTCGCTTTTAAAATTATATTTTCCCCGCCGTTATGTATACCGACAAAATGACCGTGGAAAGGCGTATCTTCCGTAAACCTATATACTTTTGGGTTTCTCTCAGTGACACACATAATAATTTCTAGAATAGACATGTGCATGGACTGCATTGGGCGCATCGCATCACGCGCGTTCTTCCGATATACCCGGTACATAATTATTACTATTACAATAATAAATTTACGTGCCGAGTGTGATCGTACGCTGGGTACATTGACGAACCGCGTTACGATAATATAATGCATTTCCTAAAACTTATGATTACATTGCGTATACGCCTCAGCCGGTATAACCGTGGTCATAGGTAAAGGATGATCGACTAATACTTGAAAAAAGCGAACATATTTTTACAACAATCAGCGTTCAGTCATATCAGTTGCCAATATTAATTAATGTTCAATTTAGTTTCATAAAATTGTTGTCAATACACCATCGAAGTACTTTTTTTGCTCATCAAAAATCGACTTTAAAAATATTCTCACGCTGTCACGCTAAATTAAAATCACTTAGGGGCAATTCACATTTGGGCTTTTTCGAAAGTTTACCGTTTTAGCGTTAACTGGTCACAGATAAGAATGATAAAAAACAAAAACTTATTGTATTCTACAGTAAGTTTCTAATGAAAAAAATTATTTTCAAACGCATATTTTGAACATAAGAATAGACACTACACACAACTATTTCCCATTTAAACAAAAAACAATCTTTAATCTACACAATGGTTGGATTTTAAATGTCAAAATATTCGGCATTGATTCTAAAATATGAATTATTTCCACTTTTCGAGCTTAATTGTATTATCAAAAACAATAGAGCGCTAAAAGATATAGTTAGGTAGATAAAAGATTTACAAATCGCCAAACTCCGGGATACTGTAGATTAAAATAAATATAAAATAATAATTGTGATAATATTTCGCAACGAAACAAACGACCGATAGAGTAATAGTTTGTTTAAGCAATTTCTAATTAAAACATTCCGCATAGTCACCGGAATACCTAAAGGTCGCTGTAATAGCTGTTAAAATATGTTACAGGGTGTACAATATGAAATATTATTATCAGTAACTGCCGTCTGGCCGGAGGTATTTATTGTGCGAACCCGTGGGGACAAATTTAACCGCGAAACTTCCCGGGACGTTATTAATCTTTTCGACGCGTGACGGGTCGAATTGTAAAACGACCAAGTGTAAAACCGACATTCAGGTATACTGGACTCGGACAATGACATTTGTGCAAAAGAAAAAAGAATACCTACTAACTTACCGTTTATACAGTCACTGCTCCACGTACAATTTGTTGTTAATTTTTTTTTTTTTAAATAACTATATAAGTACCAATACTTATATAAAAAAAAGAGCTAATACTGAGGACGAGCGTGTAATACTGTTATAGGTGGGAAGTTAGGAAAATAGGATACACAAAGTTCTTTAGATTATATCTGTAAGCAACGGAAAACAATTGCTAACAAAAAACGATTCTGAGTGAAGTTCGGTTATACATATTTTGAATGCCCGTAAAATTTACGATTTTCGTCAAAATTTAATATTAACTCTTATAAAAAAAACAACATTACACTGAATTTTATTTTTATTTACAATGTAATTACCTCCTGTAAAATGTTCAAGCATTTTTGTTTAGTCTGACAATTTAATTACTTTTAGTGCTTACACAATAAAAATTACATAAACAACTCACAAAATTAAAACGTTTATAAATAGTTCAAAAGTGACTCAAATATGTTGAAAATTTAACCACGTCTAGAAAAGGCAAATATAAGTTTTTTGTCAAGTTGTCAAGTCTCAATATTTTAAACTGAATTACAACAAAAAAAAAACAAAATTGAAAACAATAAAAGTGTTATATTCGTAAATTTCCCCGTTATTTTTACGTTTTGTTTTGATGTTACTAAATTATTAAAATAAACTACAAAGGAAATCAAAAAACAACTTTCTTACTGACTAACTAACTAACTACTTACTTACTAACATAATAATAAAAAAAAAAGGTTTCTTGTTAATCTTCTATTGAAACTATATTTCTGGTAGAAAACATAAGCCGTACATTTTTAAAATAAAGGAATCATAACGCCGTAAATCAATCAGTTTTCCGGTCATAAGGGTGAGATTTCGAAAACATTATAAGTTAGATCATTAAAAACCAAAAATCGAATTTATTCAAAAATCTCGGTAAACACTATAGTTGATTCCTAATATATAAAAAAAAAATCTTTCTGTATAACTTGCAAAGTATAAACAGGAAATTTAAAAACTTTTAAACAACATTAGTTTTCTGATGACAGCGTCCGTAACTAGTTGACTGTATAAACCGCGAACACCTGTGGACCGTGATTTTCCGGCCGGTGTACTTTTCCATTGAAAGGAGTGTTGGTATATTGTCTCGCTGGATCGGAACGAAACTTGTGTCCTGGTGAATACTTTATACGTACTATACAGAGTGTATCATTCGATATTTTCTACTATATATTTTGTTTTTGCATATTTGTGGATTTTTGTCTTATCTAAATATTATGCATTTTAAAACGCACAAATAGTTATGTTGATCATTATATTTTTTAAACGTTTAAGGTTATTATAAACTAGAATAGGATAATAATTAGATAATATTATTTGATATTTGCATATTATACTTCCTACACGATATAATATAATATATAACTGTATAATTTCTTGTACTCAGAAAGATATGAAATTAAAATTAATAATCCTTAGGTATTTAAAAATAAACGATACTTAAAAATTGTTTGTACATATTATATTTTTACGAATATGTATCATGTGCCGTTATAAATAATATTAGAACGATGATAATTATAATAAAAATGCAAAAACACAATAACTGACTACGAAAATAAGAGTAGTGCATTAACCGTAACACTCTGTATATGAAAGTACGTCTTCCTGTGTTAATATTAAGAACAATAGTAATAATAATTTGAAATGTATAAAGGAAAATGTGCACTTACAAAACGATATCACCACAGCGAAGCAGGTGCTCGTCAATTCATTCTACTCAGCGTACATAAATTAAAACAAAGAAGTAATGTGCTTGGTTAAACTTCATCGTTCTTCCATACGAAAAACGGACATAAACAGAAAATACAAGAGTCTTCGAACATATAACTCCGATGTCATAGACGGAAATTATGGGAGACTCAGTTCCCCAACAATATTTCCAAGCTCCCCATCCAAGCCGCGAAGGTTTTAGTTTTTTCGTAACGCTTCTTAATTAACTTGTCAAACATACATATTTCGCAAGAATTTATTTTTATTAATATTTCACAAAATTTTTTTTTGATAGTGATAAATTGATAACAAATATAGCTTTATGTTGGTTTTAAAAATTAAACATACCTACATATTTGGTGTCACAGCTTAAAAAGGTAAGCAGTAAGTTACAACGTAAAATATTTATAATTTTGTTGACACCTCAATGGTTAGGGTAAAAATTGGTAAGAAAATACCAAGCACTTCCCATAGATGTGACTATAAATATCCACCAATATCCGGTGTTCCGTTTTAAAATCTAAGTGAGGTTAATATTAGTTTCACTATTGATTTTCCATCCGATGTTAAATACTTTGTTGTAAAACTAAAAAATCACACCGATAAAGCAAAATATTTTCCTTGTCTATTTTATTTAGATTTAAAAAAAAATTATAAAATCTGATTGAGCTCTAATCAGAACCGCTGTTTGTTAGAATGATTTATAACGTTTCTTAGTAATGGTAATAACAGTAATATAAATTAAATTACACATATTGTATCTAATATTCATACTCCCTAATCCCCCGCTAAATCAGTAGCTTATACATGGTGCGAATTTTGTCCGACTTTTTTTTATACATTTTACGTAAGTCTATGCTTACAATTTTGCAATATTAAACATTTACAATGGTTTTTTTTTCCAATCCAAAAACATAGTTGTCGAGCCCCAAACCATCTGAGGGTTTTTTTTTTGGACATACCTACGCAGCTATGTATATTATAGAATTAGCTGTGGCAAAAAAACGGCCACGGCAGTGGTACAAAATTACGAGAAGGTTCAAAAGTATTATAAAATAAAACAAAATGTGTTCTCTTAGGGGCCATGTCCAACAACCCGGTGACCTTGCCACCATCGTATATCGCCAAGTATAACAGGTTTGTAGACAACCTCCTCGGCCGGATCAACAAGATATTGAGGAAGAACTATGACCCGGTCAATGTGCGACTCCAGACGCCCACGCAGACAGCCGACAATAAGAAGAAAGTGACCACTCAGAAACCCAAGACCAACAAGAATAAAATCGAGTCCCGAGAAGGGTAAATATAATTAAATCGTCCGAAATAACTCTTAATATTAAATTTTAACCGTCGTAATACGCACTATATGGTGTTACAATAGTATAATCGAATAGCTGCCAGTAATACTATACAGTATAAGGTACTTATTGTTTTAACCTGCCAGACATCGGACGTTATTAGAATGCATGTACGTGTATACTGTTATTTGTTATTGTACGTGTACACTCGCATACCATCATTAACACAACCGTTATTGGATTAAAAAAATGTTTGACACATAGGTCTATCCGGCAGTGGTTCTCAACTCAGGGAGAGGAATCGAGGTTATGTAATAGTATTGTATAATATTATGGTAGTGATGAAATTACGAAAAATGCATCTTATATTTTATGATAATATTAATGTAAATTGGGCAATTGGGCCTCAAAAAAAAAAAAAAAAAAATGTTTATTTTTTTCGTAAACATATCCTTAAAAAGTGAACAAGAAATGGAAAAATGTTTCGTTTTTAAAGTATCTGTTACGAATTAAAATAAAAATTATCTTTGTGTCAAAATCCGGCCCAAGTAATGTGTTAATTACATTATTAGATTCTGAGTACAATGAAGGAGCTATTAGTTAGACTAAAATGTAATGTTTTTTTTTGAAAACATTGTTTAGATCAGTAAAAATTCTTCAAATTATTCGCATCGAACTGTAAAATAAATGGATTTTTTGTCCGGTGGTATTTTATTTGAAACAAATATTTATTAAATTCCAATAATTTTTCTAAGAAAATTAAAAAATTGACATACATACAACAACGATACATCGGTCACATTTGTATTGATTTCTGAGTTACTCGAGTTACAATGAAGGTAACCATAAAACTAAAATTACTAAAACGCTAACACTACTTTGCACAGAATAATGTTTGATTGCATTGATTTATCGTTGCTTTCGGTACAAATTAAATACCCTACAATCTTACCCTTTAAAGTTCTCACCCACCACAATGGCCCAAACTCATAAAGCGAATTACGTCCAACTTTTTTTTAAATTTAAATTATTTATTACGAGTGTATTTATTTATTTATTTATATTCTAATACGCGTACTTTATTTCCGTATAAAATTCGTTTAAATATTCAAAACGTATAAATCTAAAATATAACGCCACTTCCACGCTAATGAAAATTCCTTTTGACTTCACATAATAATATTATAATATAATTACCGTCTTCGTCTTTGATTTCGCACAAATATTACATTCTGTAATGGTAATGCTATCGTCATAAATATTACGTAAACAACTATAATTTCTTCTCCGTATCTATCTTTGTTCAAACACGGTTAAAATACCGTACTATCGAATATCAATATCGATCGGGAATACGAGAACTCGTCAATTAACATTCCCGAAGACAACGAGTACATGAAGATATTGTTCTGTCATACCTGAACAATAATAGAATGTATAGTTAAGTATTTTAAACCGTTTTAATAGTTTAATATGAAAAGGATACTTAATAGTAATCAATTGAATAATTACACGGGAAAAACGTAAAATGTATCAACACAACGTGATAAAAATGTAAGAACAACGGACAAAAGCGATATAGTTAATCGTCATTTTTTTTTTTATTTAAACAAGTGTGAAAGAAATTATCGAACAACAATATATTTATTTGCATTACCTTATAGTATATCTCCTGGTATTTTTGAGTTCTGAAACTTACAAATGTCAACATTGAAAATTTTGACTGTTGAAATATTGACTATTATTGTTTAATTGGAGGTATAAACACACTATCGAATAGTGTAAAAAACAAAGAGAATTTTCGAATTTTCCCCGAAAATAGAAACAATGTATCACATTGTTTCTACTAGGCGCTCCTTTTGGACACTTTTAACGGCTACCTTTGGACCAAATCATAATCTCAAACTCGGAAATTAGAATTGATTTGCTTATAGTCGGATTGGAATGATAAAAATTGGGTTGAATTTGACCATGCTGTTGCGGGAAAACTGTGTTTTTCAGCTTTGAACACCCGGAATCCACGCTTCCCCGAAACGATATCAGAGAAATTGCATGTTTTTATATATATGGCGTTTTGGAGATTTCGACTATCAATCCCCACCTTTTACCGTTTTTATATTCAAATTTCACAATTATTTGAAAGTAGCTTAATATTGTTGTAAGTATAGTACATAGTAATATAGTACTGTGTTCTAATATGTGTAAATTCGGTTTCCATTGTTGTTTTCCGTGAAAATGACTATAATTCAAAATATATGGGGGAAATTTGACTAGTGGCGGAACTTCACTACTCACTGATATTTGTATTATGACGTTAACAGTGTTCCGTATACCTATACCACTACCTATTAAATATTATATATATATATATATATATATATATATATATATATATATATTATATTACTGCAATATTGCCTTTTTCGACAGAATAATTTCCGGAAAAAACCCAAAGTTCTTACGAGAGAGAGTTTATTACATTTTTTCAGTGCGCAATAGTATCGTTGCAACATTATAAAAAGTTCGTTCGCAATAATATTATTTTCGTCAACACAAAAACAATATCAAAGTCAGCAGACCCGTGAAGCACCCGATAATTCAAGCGGAACTTTTTGTTTAACCGAAACGGAGATACAATATTTTTGATCTTGTTTGGCAAAGTTTTTATGATAGGTCCGTATTCCCCCCCTTTGAAAAGACAAAACAAAAAAAAAAATAGATAAAAAGCCACAAAATATTATACTGTATATAAGTTAGTAGACAGTTAGTTAGTAGGCACTCGTTTAATATGTAATAATATGTTACATTCGATTACCAGTCTATTCGAAAAGAAGAATTGAAATACCCTTATTAGATGTACAGTACTTAATACTTATTAAATACAGTGGGAATCTTTTATTACGAACCTGCAATTATCTATGGAGATTTTGATTTTCGTCATACATTATAATATACTCGTAATATCGTTTAACGATCAAAATTCAAAGCTGTATAGTTCAATTGTATATTAAAAACGTCAAAAAGTCCAACCCGTGATTAGTTTTAAACTCCGTTTCGAAAACCGAATACTTTTCTAAGAATGTCAATAGACGCCATAACCGAATTTTTAGAGAACTATTCTCTTTTAGAATGTGAGATTCAAAATGTTGGTTATTATTTAAAAATCAAAAATTGATTTATAAGTTTATGATTAGGGTGAAATTTTCGAAAACACTGTAAATGATTATTAAATGTTTTTATGATCATTTATGGAACAAAATCAATGACAATTTAGTCAAAATTTTTATTGATAGTCTTTAAATCTTAGATAAATCTTTATGGAAGTCGCTGGTTCATGATGAAGTAATTATTGCAGCCCTGTATTTTTTATGTACCGTGTTAATAAATATCCATACACCAAGAAGTTAAAACTAGTTTAAATAATTTTAGTTTCTCATTTGAAAACATAAATATGGCATACGTTGTTCGAAAACCTATACCATTTCTGTTCTTAGATACTGACTCCAAAAAATAAAAAAGTTCGTTTATCTTTAATTTTCAATATAGTTTCTATATTATCTTACCATCATTGATGATGTAACTTTTGTGGTTATTCTTGCGGTTTATGTTAGTTGAACTCAAGGTTTATGGATTATATAGGTTATATATTATATTATAATCTAAAAACATTGGGTTAAACTTTAACCATAAAACTATTTTTTTATAACAATTCAACTTGTTAACCAGTGTCCAGTTGTAGTGTGTAAAAGTGTCCCATTGTCATTTGTAATATGTTTTTAAACATTACTCAGTGGGCTACACTGGGCTTTGAAACGCGGACGGATCATGATTAACATGATTAAATATTCAAAACGACAAATTCAGTATAACACTGATAACGAAATTACAGAGATTATTATCTCATGCGAATTGGAACCAATCGGAGAACAGGATTGGCATAGGGTTTCTTAAAGATGTGGGTACATTATGTTTATAAATGTCCTAACCCATCCAACTAGGCATATTATTATCAAAACATTCAAACCACATTAGGTATTTTATAATATTACCAAAGGTATTGAATATATAAATACGGCATACCATTAAATTATGGTTCCTCTAGGGAATCCTCTCTCCGTTTCTGTTTTCTCTGTGTGTCAACAGTTATAGTTATTTACGGCATTGCTGCCTACTCTACTTTGCTGACGACTTTACGCTTTATGCGCGTGTCTATTTGATTAATGACTGCTTAAAATTACAGAACGACTTCATAAGGTTTTTGATTGGTTTGGAAAATTAGGACAGTCTCTTAATCTCTCCAAATGAAAACTAATATCTTTTTTTAGACTTCGCTCAATTGTCTACTTTTATATCAACTTGATGAAACTTATATTATACATGTTTTTGATGGCGTTATGGATCTTGGTTTTATATTCAATAGTAAACTCGATTCTGGATCTCATATTGAGTGTATATGTTGCAAAGCTCTTAAAACTCTTAGTTTCATTATGAGATTGGCATGCGATTTCCAATTAGGACTATGGGTTAAGTCTCTTTTTTCTACTATTATGCGTTTTTTTAACAATTTGAGTAATGCATTTGTAAAATGTATAATTCATCAATTATTGTTACTCGTGAACTTGCTAGATTTTATTAAGGTCTTTTGCGCGTTTATTTATTTAAAAAAAACATAATAAAATATCTATGAATATTACACAAGACAACTACGGTACCAGATCGTGAGCTTCGAATTTTTCAACCTTAGATTTGGGGCCTTACGTTCGAAAAAATATTTGAACTATAATAATACAATATAACATGGAAATATTAAAATGTTCGTCCGAGGCAGTGATAGCGACTTTGTCTGACGAATTATTTACGTATACTTAACATTAAACATGTTGCTGTAAATTAGAGATTTTAAATAGGTATCTATTATACATGTAAATACAGAATAAAACACCCGCGACTGTTTTTCAATGACCTACAACGTCAACTTGGGCAACCTAGGTGATAAAACGCCCCGATTCCCTTTCAACGCGTAAAGGTGATAAAACCGCACTGTTTCGATTTTTGTACGGTATCGAACTCGCGCTATCCCAACTAATAACCTAACATACTAAACGGTGCAATAGTAATAATCGTTGTACGGTTTGTTCGAAGCGACCGGCAGGCGGATCTGTCCGAGCGGGCGAAGAACGGCACCGTTCCGGCCGTGGCCGGTGCGGCCAACAACGGCACCGCGGTGACCAGAGGACAGCGCAAGCACCACAAACACGGCAGAAAATCGCGGGCGCAGAACAACAAAAACAAAGCGGGGACCAACAACAAGGGCAAGGTAAGCGTCGGGAGGGACGGTAAACTCCTACGGAATTAGGTAATCTCCTACATTGACATAGTGTTAACTCCTACAAATGACGGTGTTTACTCCTACACTAGACGGTTGTAAAGTTGTAAAAAGTGAAATCAGGTATTTTAAAATAAATAAAAATTAGTCATAAACTACAAAAATAAGAGGTACATGTACAAATAAGTGGTGAATAAGAGGTACATCGAGTTTACGGAAATATACGTTATCGAAATGTTCGAGAATTTCCAATACGATGTTTACTAAACTGTATTTTTCATTTTACTATCTCACGTTGATAAATCTCTACGGATATTTATCCAAAATGCAACAAAAAAGGTCTCGTATCATTTTTCCACTGGAGAAACTATTTCTGGTTTAAAACGTCGCGGTGTGTTCATTTAAAATAATGAAATCGCACGTTTTTTCCCCCGGCTACAGTGCAATTGTTATTTTGTGCGATTGTTATCCTCGTTACACTAAGAATCGAAAATTTAAAAAGACCTGCGTAGGAGATTACGCCGTCTGTTGTGGCATGTAAAATGGGACTGTGTAGGAGTTACCGCTGTGTTTTAATTAAGGGGTAAAAAAAAAAAAAGTCATTTTCGTAGGTGTTTACACGGATGTTACCAACGTACATATGCAGTTTACATTGTACCGCGGGTTACCGGTGTAGCCGCCCCACGGTGCGAATTTATCTTCGGATTTTTATTATTCGCCGCGATCGTTGCCGGACGACGCGCGTGTGGGTGTGTGACGGTAGCTTTGCGCGCGCGCCCATTCGTCTGCGAGAAGAAAAAACACACGCGCACGCACGACTCGTTCGCGCGCGAATTCGCAAACAATAGAAATACCCACTCGGAGTGATTTGCGCGTATAATTTATGTTACAGAGTGTACTTAACCTGTAAACGGTGTGCACTCATACCGTTTGCGTGTGCACGAAACAAACAAATAAAACGCGGGAATTCGTGAAAGACCGTTTAATTCCCTTCGCCATTTTTTTTTTTTTTTTTTTCTGCGATTTACCGTAATTATTATGGCCTAGGACTTTCTGTTTGTCCGTAATACAGCGGCTTGATATTTTACAGAAAAAAAATAAATAAATAATAATAATAATGATAAAAACAATTGTGTTCACAATCCGCATTGTGATAATACCGATATACTGAGCATACGCATAATTATTCAATTTTTGTTTTTTTTTTTCTTTTTTTGTCTAGATTTATAATCGGTATAAAGTTGTTTTCCGAAAGTAAATAACGATTGGGCCGTTGTAATAAAAACGGTTGCCTACGAACGATTTTTTTTTTCCAATTTATTCCGCGAATTTATTTTGATTTCGGCCCCGTACTGCACCCCGTATCAGCGCGTGCAAAAGCGTTCGGCTCTTTTGGGCCGGCCGTGCCTGACCACTGCGCCGGTCGGCGCACGTAAATCGGGCCGAGTACGCCGCGTACGCCGGAAACGGATCCCGGCGTTCGCGGTTTTCGCGCGAAATCCTGTGCACGTGACAACGTGTTGTGTCGTTTCAGCCGGCCGCCGCCAAGCCGAACAGCCCGCCCAGGGCCAGGGCCACCATGTACGGGCTTAGCACGCTGCGCCGGGACGGAGACGTCGGCGTGAACGTGATGAACAGCCACACGACGGTCAAGACCAAGTTTTTCGTCGGCCCGCTCACGCTCAAGGTCGAAAAAGAGGTAAATCCGACTTAGTGCCGAGCGATCAATGAACGAATGCACACGTCACTAAAATTTACTTTTTCTCCCTTTTCGACTCTGTCCGAAAGGGGTTTCGCTCCCTCCCCCGCATCTATTATCACCGCTTTACGCGCGCTCTGATTTTTCCGTACAACGTCTCGCCAACGTCTGCACAAAGACTTGTGTCCAAACCACGGGTGGAAAACGTTTTCAATATTTTCGTTTTCGTTGTTACGAGCATTACGTGTTTGATAAAAGTCTTTAAAAACGTTTTCGTTATTTTTCTCTGGAGTTTATGATAAAAATATTGAATATGGAATAAATATTTTAATTATTACATTATAATTTTTTTAAAATGTATAATTTTATAATATTAATCATTTCATAATATATAAATTACATAATACATTTTGTAAACATTAACAGTTTGTTGGGTTTATAACATAATAGCCAATAAGTTACTTATGAACAACATGCGGAGTTTGGGTAACTAAAACTATAGAATACTATATGCATTGCCGAAACCGATAAACAATAAACACACAGCTTTCTTTTCGTTAATTATCGACAATAACAATTGGTTATCACTTATCAGTTATCAGGATTAGGTACCTACCACTTTTGCTATAATAGAATTATTATTATCAAAGAGCAATAAAACTGTTTTATTTTTCAGTTGTTTGTGTTATAGTATAATATTAATTTCCGGTTTGTTTTTGTATTTATAATTTTTCGTTTTCGTCGTTGATTTCGTTCGTTTAACAACGTTGTTAAAAACATTTCTATCCCTGATCTAATCTCAACTCGCCGTTATTTTATCTCGTCGTTTCTACATCTCTCAATATGTCCCCATACACAGGTACACAATCTATTCTTTCTCATTATCGCCATTATGTACCCTCCACTTTTACAGGGCAGCCCGGATAACAAAAAAAAAAAAAAAAAAATAAAAAAATTACAATAAGCGAAAACGGCGGAAAATTATAAAAACTATTGACTGTTATCTGCGGAACACCCGGACGAACTTCGTTCTATCAACCCACGGAAATCGGTAATAACTACGGTATGGTACGCAATACGATACCTTACACGGTGTACGGTACGAATAACATTATTATCGTAAGAGGATTTGCCGTTTTACGCGCGCAGTTCTCTCTATTATCTATCTTCCGCGTTTTATTCTTTTGTACTGTTATTACTGATTATTATTATACTGGTCCGGTTCACACGCCTGTTGTAGACGGTCTTTTGTTACGACGGCTTTTCGCGAATGGGTAGTCGTATTGCGAGTTTTCACCGTTTTACCGGCCGGACCGTGCTCCCTTCCGTATTCCGATTTTACACGCACACTTTATTTATACGGTTTTTTTTAGAATGTTCTTTTATCGTGTCTCGTAAAAAATAATAATACAGGTACTTATAGTTTTGTTGAAAAACGAATAAAATATTTTTGTGGACACGCCGTCAAAAGATTTCGCCGCCGTCGTATTTTCAAACTTTCATTACCGATAACATTATATTTGTTTAGTATTCTATACACGGCGTGATATCCATTAATATTGTGTGCCTGTAAGGTATAAAAATTGCTGAAAAACGTTGTGGAATATGCGTAATTTAACTATCTCTTTAACTATTTTTTTTTTCACTCGAAAAATGTGTTATCCCGTGAAATTAAACAACGCGATTTATAACGTTGCTTCTAAAAATTATAAAAGACACTTTTTAATTTATAAAATATAATTATTGTCAAAGTGGATAGGTACGTCAACCCATATTTTAAAGCGGTATAGATAGATTTTTTAATATTCACTGGTCAAATGGTTCAATTCAATAAATCAGCCTTGTGCCATGGTAACCCAAAAATCAACAACAACAAAAAAAGGACCAAGAGCCTAGGGCAGGGGTTGGGAACCTTCGGCTTTTTCGAAAACATATCAAAATTTAAGACGTAATGAAATTGCTTAATAAAATATATTTATCGTTTTTTTGTACTATGGTATGATTTTTTTATCTTAGCAACTGCGACTCTTTAAAAATTATGATTTAAAAAATTGCTCATTTACACGAAAAGGTTCCCAACCCTTGGCCTAGGGGGGTACTTCTGAAAATGTTGATAGTACGATAGTTCAAGTAAAGTACCAACGGTAAGAAATTTCGCATCTTTTGAGATAGGTTCTGCATGAAAAAATTTGAGTAATTTTCTAAGAACATTTTAGAAATTTCGAAAAATATTTCACTTAAAACACCGTTAGCATCGTTTAAAGTATAGCACAAACAAATCTGAGCACTTTTTACTAACCATAAAAGTGGTTTTCTTTAAACTAAGCAAAAAACGCATCTTTTTAAAATCCTTTTCTAGGGCAGAGCTTTTAAACTTTTTTTTTTTATAAAAAATATCATTATTGGACAAATACAATAATATAATAATGTGGGATAGTGTAATATCGTAAAAAAAAGAAAAGTATTTTTCCAATGGAGGAGTAAGTGGCATAAATTGATATTGTGTAAAAGTAAACCGTCATGATTAATTATCGGTACCTATTAAGGGCGATTTAGTTTTTAATAGGGGACAAATATCATAATAACCTATTGCTCGCAGCCTCGATTTCGTCGCAATATTATGGTCGTTTCTTTCTTTCAGTTCGGAAAACATATCGTTGTCTGCTATACTGGCAATAAGCGACAGTGTTTTTATAGGTCGTGCATATCGCAGTTTTTGCAAAAGCCAAGTATCATAAAAACACTCGATTATAACACAATTATTTATTATAAGTTTCGAATATCGCTAAACGGGTGGGTACTTACTCGAGAAAACATTATTAGGGAGGAACAAATGGACAAATCTTGAGAAATTTTCCGTGGCTTCACACGACTTCGGTACGATAAATTACGAGCGCCGGATCTGATCCTATTGGGATCGTAAATCTAAACGCCTCGGCTCGCCTCGGGTGGCGATGAAGTGCGCGTTTTCGTTAAGAGTCCATTTCGAGTCAGTGTTAGTGCGCTTATGAAGACATATAAAATATAGCATATTAAACTAAATACTAATACACACGAAATATGCTGACGAAAGGTATGAAAAAAAAGGTTCGGTTTTTGTTTCCGCCAAATCATTTTCGTTTAAACCGAATTATATAGTTTCAAAACCATTTTGATTTATCTAAGGGCGAACCCGTGAAAGCACAGGTTCACGTTGACCACAAACAATTTTTCTTTTCTGTATTTACGTATTTCATTCCGTCAAATACGTAGATGTTCTGTATTAATTTTCAGTTGTATAGGTAACGATTATGATTCACAATATTAAAATTTAAAACTGTTGCGTACACAAAACATTGAACCGTAAATGGTGTTCGATTCGTACGAAAAACTTAATTCGAGTTGTAAGAGAATATGATTAATAATTGTATCTGTATATTCATCACATAATTATGTGACAAGGGGTTCTCGTGACGATTTATTCGCGGAGTTTCGTTCGAAAAAGGGTTAATGTGCATGCATAACAATATGACAAAGTCACACGAAACTAAACAATATTAATTCATAACACTTTAAATAATTATTTGTCTTATTATATGTTTAAACGTACCTACTGTCACGTAGGTAATACGGTTTATGTGAAAATGGCCTTTTGTCGCGTCATATTTGTTCATATAAAACTACCTATACTGAAATACCGATCGCAATGTTATACGATGAAAGGTTAGGTTAGGTATCCAAGTCTGTGGTGTATAGCCGGTACATATTATGGGCAAAATAATTTTTGTTTCTCGTAAAAAAAAAATAAATTGTCAACGGTCCATATGTCCCCACTTCCTTTTCGATCCTTCGTTCCTGTGTGTGTCGTATGATGTTCTGCCTGTAATTTTGTAAGGCGCCAACACACGTTATGCTAATTCTGCAATATTTATTTTTCCGGTCGCAGTTCGGACGGGGTGCCAAAAAGGAGCTGAGATCGGCGACCGCCACCACCGGAGAGCTGATCGGCCGTCTCAACTTGCGAGTGCTGACCGGCGGCGCGGCCACGCTGCACTCGATCCGCGTGCACCAGCCGAAACAAGTACACGACAATGTTTTCCAACAAAACACAATATTATTGTTATTACTATCGTTAACATCGTATCGTCGAGATACCCGCACGTGTTACGCCGTCTTACCGAACGCGCGACAACAAATTCGCGTTCGGCGGAGACAACATTTGCGCTGTTAGTTTCAATAACACGTGCGTTGCGGCGAATCGAACATTACAATCCGTGCGACGTCGGCGCTGTTTTCACGTCACAGTTTCAATAACGTTCGCGCGTTACTTGAAAAACGGAAACGCCGAGAAAAAAAAAAGCAAAAACCCGGCGCCGAAGTCGCGCGGGTGACCGTTGAACGTGACGGATAAGTCGGTTCGCTGCGACGTGCGCCGGTGCCGGCCGTATCCGCCAAACAGTCTCGGCCGCCGGACGGACCGTTCGCCGAGTCGTACGCGTTTGTTTGGCGGATACGGCCGGGTATCGCGCGTCCTCTTGTTTACCCGCGTAGTAATTGGCGGACGCTAACAATCGCTTTTCGAGAGGCCGGAGGGGGGGGGGGCCCGGAACTGTACGCTCGACGGGTCGCGCGCCCTGGAAATAACGCCGTACCGATGTTGTTGCGCTTACCACACCGGACGACGGCGAGGGTCGCGCGATTGCAAAGCCGGCCGTACAACATCGGTGCGTGCATCTCGCCGCGGCGTACGCACACGTACGCGTATGCGTACTGCGACGCGCTCCCCGGCATCGCGTCGGACGATGTACCGCCGTCGTCCGCGATTGGCGGGCACACCGAAACGAAATTATTCCCGTGCCCGTTAACGGGCGCGCGGGCGCGGTCGTCGAAAACCGGCCGACCGTTGTGTAGAGGCGAACGTTTCGCGCGCCGCACGTCCCGCCCGCAGTTGTCGCCGGCACGCGAATTCCGCCGGAACGGACGGGTCGCGACGCAAGCCCCGAACGTGTACAATAACAGTAACAACAACGTTGGGCATTTTGCGTAAAGCGCGCGGCCGCGTATTTCCCGGCGACCCGTCCCGCGGGAGCCCGAGCGGACCGCAGACGCTCCTCGCCACCGGGACCACGCGCGCAGTAATACTACGACAATAACCGTTGTCATTGTAATCGTTATGGGTTCCGGCGCGCGCGTACCTCACGGTATTATTGCGGTGCGGACAGCGCGGTCCCCCGCGTTATTATTATTATTCTTTTGCCGGTGTGCCGCGTGCACAAAAGAACGGCCCGGGAACGGTCGGCGTACGAGAAAAAACGCGCCCGCAGGGAGGGACCTCCTCTCTTATTTGTTTTCCTTTTTTTTTTTTTTTTTTTACCCACCAACAAACGGCACGCGGTTCGCGAGAAAATAACGAACGACGGCGGCGGCGGTGCCGAACGACATTTACGTTTTTGTATGTTTTGCGTTTCGCACCGCGGTAGACGTGCCGTCCGTGTCCGCGCGCGTTCGTTTCGTACGTTTACCGTTATTCGCGATGCTGTGACACGACGGTCGCGCCCGGAACAGTGCAGGAGAGTCCTCGACGCGGCGGCGGCGCGGGGGATCGACGATGAACTTTTTTTTCCTAACGGTCCGAAAAATATATATATATAAAAAAAAAAAAAACCAATCGTCATCGCGTAATATCATTACGCCGGGTAAATACCGTGCAAAACTGTGTTCCGTACACGGTCATCAATATTATCGTAGACGGGCGCTGTGACGATAACCGTCCGATGAACAACGTGAAATACGATTTCTAATGTTATTGGTCGGTACGTTATTATACGGGCGCGTCTGTTTTATAAAATTCCGTGCGTAAAAAAAAAAAAAAAAACAGATACCTTCGCTGTGCCGTATTCCCGAGTGTGCAAATAATTGACCATCATTATTTATTAAGGGACAAACGCGGCCCGAACACTTGTACCGTTTAGTCTATCGACGTAAATCGGTCGTTCGAGAAACGACATAAGTCATAATTATTACCGAATTTGCGGAGAACAGGAACGAAAAACGTAATGTTTCCTTTACAACACCCCAAACCGAAATTATAGTAACTTATTTCTCTGCGGGACGCGCATCTTAATCCACCGTAATCTCATTTTGTCAAGAATAGTGACTTATGTTGTTTTCCGAACGACCTACTCGTGCAATAAAACCCGTGAAAATATCTACAGCGACTAAAATGGACGGCCATCGTTTATGCCGAAAAACTTGATTTTCGTTTCCGCCGAAATGGACTTTGTTTGATTTTCGTTCCTGCCAAATCTATTTTTACCTATATAATTATTGTTTGAGAACCCATAATTATAATAATGATAAATCTATAACCAAAGCGGATGTCGAACCCCGGGAAATGATTTTGATTTCCACACAAACTACAATTACACTCGTAATAGTTTTCTTTATTTACTTTACTTGTGCAATATTAAATACGTGCCTATTTGTTAATACTTCAAATGCACTCGAAGAATATATACAAAAAAAAAACTATTTCTAAAATAAATAAATTTTTTTTAAAAAGTTTGCAACAATATTGTTCTAAAGAATTATTAAAAGTGTATTAATTTGCGTGTGTGATTTATGGAATTGTTAGGGTCTTAGGGAATTTAACTCTAAGAGCCGTGATAATAATAATAAGAACCACCACTCTGCGATGGACCCAGGGTAGCTCTGAATGGTTCCCAAACTACAATTTAGGCGTGTAAAAAAAGATTTGGCGGAAACGATTAATACGTGTTTTCGTACATTGAAACGATTAGATTTAGCCGTACAGAGCGCACGGAAACTTGACGCCGGTCGGGCCAAGTGTTCACTAGACCTTTTCGACCGGTCCCGGAGAAACGAGTCTGATTAGGTTGCTTTGTACATACTATCGCAAAAATTTAAACCAAAGACATTTGCCGAACGTTAATGCTTGAACGGTTTTAGCTTCAGGTCGACAGCCAGGACGATCACGACAAGACTAGGGAGTACATGTGGAGACGGTCCAACATGATCGCGCACCTCGTGTCACAGAAGTTGACGTACGCCACCAAGTCCATGCTGCAACCGGTACCGAAAAAGAAGACGACCACCGCAAAACCATAACAGGTCTGTGCGTTGTACTATCCATACCACAGCCATACATATCTGTCATGTCTAATAAAATAGCTTAAACGGACAAAAAACCGCGAGTAGAATTTTCCGCTACGGCCAATATTCGTTAAACAACGATAAACAACCATACACACCATTGGCAGTCTCAATTTTACAATATAAAGCGCGGAAATTAAAAAGGTATTACGCGAAATAATGATGACTGATCAATTGCCTATAGTTTCAAAACTCCACACTAATGCCGCAGACGACGAGTCAGTATACACGTGCCAACAAACATTGTTTGTTGAATTTCGTGTTTTTGAAAACTAATCCGCGTATAATATTGTCATAATAGCATACCATATATAAATACACTGTTTCTGCTAACTCTTCCGTAGACCACAGTCCGTGTTTATGATTCGCCTGTATCAGCGTTTATAACAATTAAAATATTATAATCGATCGCAAAACGTTCCAATAATATACGTACCTACGACTGCGATGGCTAAAGGACAATTGGATGAACGGCCGCCATCGATACACTCGATAAACACTTGAAATAATATAAAGTGTGTAATCCTTGCAGTTTTATGAGAAGGCTTACACCCGCGTTTACTGCCACGGTCTAACTAACGACCAACATAGCAAAACAAACACAAATTATGGCGTTTAGGTTGAAATTACAGTTAGTTTAAAGACAAATAACAACATTTACAGGGGAGAATATTTCATCGAGCTTTTTTTCTGAATAATCGTCATACAAAAATGTAAACACGCTAAAGTTATAGCCATGTAACTTTGTAGTTTGTTGCAAGTCAATTTGTATTTTTTTTTAAAAAAACTATATAAATCCCTCGAAAATATTATATTAAAATTTATATTTTAATCTTGTTATTTGTGTTTAAACTCAATTTTAATCTAAACGTCACAATTTATGTTCTAAGTAACGTAATTTGCCCACATTGTCTGGCAGATGGACGGATAGAGAGACTGATACAGTAAATGTGGGTACGGCCTTCTTTTAATAAAAACATATTTAAGGATATGATATAAATTTGTATTTTTATCATTTTTCACCCATATTCGTCGTTAGTCTTTGTACCCCTCTATTCTACGTATCGTTGATACCCGTATATGCAAAACGTCCATTGTGTAGGGGTTGGGGGTTCGTAATGTACTATAGCAATATGTACTTTGTTGGTTTTTATGTGACATTTTGGGTACGCCGACATTAAAGATAACAAAACATAAAAAACCGTTGGGTCGGTCGTGAGATTTTTTACGATAACGCAATAAAAGTAATATTAATACGACGTAAAAATAAAATGCTGTTTTAAAAAGGGTCGCACAGATGTTCCGAAAATTGATTTATTATTTACTATAGGCACCCGTGTACACATTGTAAGGTGCAATAAAAAAAAAATTGTTTATAAAACGCGGTTGCACAAAATATTGTAACTATCACAATCGTCGAATGAAAATGTTGTAATATTAACAAAAAAAAAAAACATATTTCTTTTTCAGAAATGGAGTGTTCTACCGTACTCAATGGCTGATTAAATGTTAAGATTTTTTCATTATTTATAAATTATTTATTTATTTATTAACTATAATTTATTTATTTATTTATTTATTATAAAATACATACTTATGTATTTGAAAATCCGTAAGACGGAAACGTGCGAGTACAATAAATTATTTTCTATACATTTACAAAGTTGCGTGTTTTGTTTCATTTATTTATAACTGAATTACCTATAATCCTTTAAATGTTTGGTTGAGCGTACTGTTGTATTCGGAGTTGTAACGTATAATACGGAACAGTATAAAATACGTACTTACGCACAAACGTGTACATAGTATAAAATTCTTAATTTTATCGTTTTATACGTATAACACACTCAGCGCGAATAACTTCCGCATTGTCTTCCATCCAGCACACGTATAAAATATAACAGTACCTATGTTGTTATGATACTATATTTGTATCTGCAATTAATATTTTACATTTTTATTTTTATCACGCTCCGCGTAATTAACTGGGTGTAATGTTATTTACTCAATTAAATTATGGAACATGAACATCGAACGCGGCGTGTACAGTATGAACGGATCCAGGACATGATAACAGGGGGTGGGGCGGGAGCGATTGCGAAAATGCATATGAAGGCTGCACACGTTTATGATGAAAATCGATCTTAAAATATATTGAGAAGTGACCAGAAGAAGGGGGGGGGGATCGCTAATACACGCGTATGTTGTTGTCCCCGCTTGTATTATTATTCTGGTAGGTACTATACAATTTACTACCTACGGTAAACTCGTTCCACGAAACTACATTTCGATATTTAGGTATACGGTTTCAAAACGAACTGTTTATTAAACTTAATTATTATTTGAACTGGAATAAATAGCGAATCGTATACGTATTAATATTTATGACGTCAATAATAAATTATTAAACGCACGCCCTGCGATTTAAGAGGAGCGGGAAAATAATTCATCAAAACCCTGTTATTTTATTATCATTATTCATTTGTTTATTAAATTGCATTAAACTTAATTAAACGGGCAACGTATGAATATGAATCGTGAATTATTGTAATACCTATTGATTTTAGTATCATAATCGTCATAAATTTGAATAATAATTAATAAAACGGCGTCACCAGCTTAGACTTGAAAACAAAGTGGTACAATTAATAATTGGTTAATAAAGTTTTTTTATCTACGTGTTTGTACGACTGAATAATATATTAATGTACCGATGTCCTATATAAAATACTCGCACTATATTCTGTTTAAAAAGCGATCAAAATGTTTTATTCACACTTTTTAACGGTTTTAATAGTCCCAGGTAATGAAAAGTATAAAGAACTAAGAAAATAATGCCATTTCAGACATTTCAACAAGGTTTGAATTATAGATTAGGTACAATAATTGAGATTCTGCGCAATTGTTTAGTATTTTAATAATGTCATGATTTGTATTCTTTTTTTTTTAAAAAATTGAATAGTTTTATTTAGAGAAAATAATCAATAATTATAAAAACCGGATAGATTTGCTCATTTTCGCTGTGAGTAATTATAATAAGTTTCAACTTTATAAATAAAAACAAATTCATAGTTTTGAAATTGCTCAGTTTATTATAAGTATTCGAGATTATAAAATGTATAAATTCCGTATATTTTAGAAAATGTTGAAGAATGTACACCAATACAAAATGGTAGATATTATGATGGCATACCAATTTCCCTTTAGAATATTTACAATTCTCAGTACTCGCAGAGATAAAAAAAAACAAAAATCAAAAAAAATTCACTGTAAATAAAATAGTATACTCGTTCATCTCAGAACCATAAATTTAAAAGATAAATATTGAATTATTTAGTATCTATGAGGTCATCCATACAAATATTCACCTGTAATTATTATTGCAGATTTTACGCGATGTAGGATATCGAGTAGGCGGATCTTTATAGTTTATTCATAAATTATTTTCAAAAAGTTCGAAATTTGACATATACTATAACTATAGTATATTTTTGATTTTGTAACTGGACGAATTAGGGAAATTGTAAGAAAAAATGTCGAAAAAACATTATAGAAATTAAAATAAGAAAAATGAAGAAATTGCAAAACAGAGTTTATTTACTAGTTTAATTACAATTTCAACTAGAATAAAACGCATTTTCGAACTAAAGTTATATTATTCCTGAGATATGAAAAAAAAGAAAAGAAAAATTCGAAATCCAAATCCTACTTACATCACTAAATTCGAGTTCAGCTTTGAAGGAAAAATACATAAGAAAAGCATTTAAGAAACACACAAATATATTTTAAACAGTTTTCTTTGTAAAAACAGGGATTCTAGGAACTTTGCCCGAAGTATCGCAAGGTTTTACATCACAGACAATAAATGTACTGACACTATCTGTATGAATCCAAGAACCAAAATTGTTTAAAGTTAGATTATAGAGTCTATACAGAGTGTCCTACAGTGTTATCCGAATGATGATAAATTATTAGCAATAACCCTGTCAATGTACAATTTTTTTTCAATCGGGTTATGTGTCAGGGGGACACATGTATGTAGAAAAATCAAATTTTTATTTTCATCCCTTAATCACTGAAAAAAATAACTATTTTTTTTCACTTTTAAAATGTTCAAAGTAGCCAATTTGAAAAAGACATTATTTCAAACATTTTTATGTAGATGCTATACTTACATATTCGATCAATAGTTTCTTAGTAATAGCCGTTTTAATTTCTATAGAAAATAATCGTTTTCACGTCTATATATTAAAGCCGCAATAGCTAAGAAACTATTAATCGGATATTTAAATATGGTACATACGAATTTTCAAATCTTTTATAAATTGGATAGTTTGAAAATTTTAAAAAGTGAAAAAATAACTTTTTTTTTTTTAGTGATTAAAGGATGAAAATAAAAATTTAATTTTTCTCTACATTTGTGTTACTCTCATACAAAATCCGATTGAAAAAAAAAATGAACATTGACAGAGTTACTAGCATTCGGATAACACTTTAGGACATTCTGTATGCACGGACCGACGGTCTAATAGCGAACTCCGATACAGGTATTTCAACGAATAATACTTTAAAAGAATAAGAGACAGCAATGAATGAACGTAAAGATTAAATAAAAAACGACGGGTATAACGTTATATATAGACATTACACCTACACGGAGTCCCATAGTGTTTTCCATGTGTTTAAACATGTGTGTTATTATCAGTGGCAGATTTTTAACGTTTTACTAGGAAGAGTTTTGAAAAATCATAAGCAATTTAAATCTATTAATAGATGCTACTTTTTCGGACGATATTTTTTTCAAATTATATCAGTGTCTGGGAGCGGGCCCAGACCCCCCCGGGAGTCTATGGAACATAATTTTTTCACGCCTTTTTTCTAGGAATTAAAACAGCTACCTATTACTAATAAAACAATAATGTTCATCGGATATGTACATGATAGTTAACAATATTATTATAACAAATCGGCTATTTTGAAAAGAAAATATATATCACATAAACATAATATCATTTTTTCTAGTGATTAAAGGGGTTATAATACAAATGTAATAGTTTTTCTCTAAACATTGCCGATTTAAAACTATAATATACAAATTTGAATATTAACAAAGTTTTCAACACTTTTTTAACTGTGGGACACCCGGTATAGTCACACCGGATAGTTAAGGATGATCTGCAGGATAACTGGCAACAGTGCTAATCGCAAGGTTGGAACATATATTAATTACAGTAACGCGTATAAAACACGTATTATACATGTATAAACCTTTTTATATTTTTGTAAATTATACGGCTGCACTGAGCAGATGCTAACGGATACATAATTTGTTACAATAATTGTTGACAAGCTTATAGAGCTGTGTTTATATCGTTTAAAAAGTCCATCTTTGTTGATTATTTTCATTTAAATAGTTATTAATTAAATTTGTCTGTAGGTATTAACGACTATTATAAATTAAAAATTGTAAATTTTAAATAATAACAAAAAAAAAAAAAAAAAAAAATAACCGTTTGTTTTATTTTAATTTTAAATTGATTTTATGTGATATTTATTCATTTACGTTTTAGCTTTAGCGGGGCGGCTGCGATTCTGAGACGGCGGGCGTATTGTTTTTACAATAAAGCGTTTTTTTTTTTTTTTTTTTTTTTTTTTATTTATTCACTACGTTTTCGACACAACGCGTAAAACCCGTAATAAACAAAGTCGGCGGATATCGAGTTAAAATCGATACGGCGAATAATATCGCAGAACAATAACATGTAATTTCACGGAACGGAGAAAAAAAAAAAAAAAAAAAACGGCGCCCGTGCCGCGTTCCGGCCGTTATAAAGTCTCGCGTACGCGGCGTATTAAAAACGTACAAGACATTTTGCACGCGCCGTCGTACACCGTTGTTCATACCGGCCAAACATTTATCGCGTACGTCGCCGGTATACGATTTCCGCTACAATTCGCACTCGTTTCTAATTGAGCGCTTATAAAATGGACGCGGAGGTACGGCGCGGTGCATTTATCCGGAACGCGGAATATGCGGGAGGAACCGCCGTGTTATTATACCGACGGGAATTCAATTGCCGTTTCTTTAAACGACCGGACCCGTCCGACGAGGCGGAATATTATTCAAATTAATCCCCCGCCGCGGCTATTCGGCGTTCCGGAAACGTCAATATAGAATACATAATATCACAACGCGGTCCTCGTCCCCGCAACGACCCCGCGGCACAATCGTTTTTTTACCGCGAATCCCGACCGCGCGTTCGAAATAACACCCGCCTCCCGGGAATACGCGATTCTTCGTCTGGAAAATAATTTTTAAAAAGACGTCCTAGGATTAACGGAGACGAGTGCACTCGTCCACCGTTATAGGCAATTGAACGTACACCCGTAAGCAACGGTACGAAAACCATTGCTTACGGAAAAACGATTCTGAACGGAGTCCAGTTGATAGCGACGCCCTGTCAACAATATGTGTGCCATACCGTAGTAAAATAATTAAATGTACTCTGTGTGTTTCCTTTGATAATATTCGTTTAATGTTGTACCGATTTACCCGGTTTTTCACATTTGCTGTGAAAAATCCGAGAAAAACGGAAAATGACCCCTATACAGATTTCCGTTCGGAAAAGGCGCTACGCGTGAAAATCAGAGCAAGTCTGGTAGAAAAGTTGTCCGCAAAAAAAATAAAATAAAAATAACAAACATCTTTATAAAACCATAAGCTTCTCCGCTTCACTCAGAATCTAAAAAAAAATTAATAATAAACGACGCAACCAAAAGTGCATCTTCAGCCTGATAAGTTAACAAAAAAATATTTCAGGGGTCGGGTGGTTAAGGTTGTACACTTTCATACTCTTGTAAAAAAGAAGTTTACATACTTCCGATTGTGGGGTTATTTATTTTCCATTAAAAATGTCAATATTTCATAACATTAATTTTCAGCCTTTCAGGTACACGTTAATAAATTTTAAATTCAATTTTTTTTCTAAAACCAGTAAAACTACAACAAATTATAAATGACAATAAGAATATAAATCTATACTACCTGGGTAGTAATAAAATTAAAACAAAACCAAAATTGTATTTATCTTCCTCGTTGACAAAGACCACTTTTGAGACTATTAAAAACCTAACCGACGGAGTTCTTGTAATATAAAAAAAAAATAGCACTAGAAAACTAGATTATTGGCCCTAATTAATTATAGCGTTGTTCCGCGCCCTTTTTAGCCGGTCCGCGTCTCGGTAGGTAACGTTACAGGCGATCTTTTTTTCATGAATTAATTAATTTTATTATTTTTTTTTTCAATATTTTATGATCTATGTAAATCATTCAAACTTTCACAATCTGTGAGCGGGCAACTGCTCATTGTCAAAACTTGAATTTTCGTTTGGTTCGGTAATGGATAGGCGGGTAGGTACCGTGCCGACGGCCCCGGACCCCACACGCAAAACGCCGTTGAAATACCGCCTTCGCATTATTATTTATTGCGTTCACTGTTGAATACATACATTACATGTGTGCACCGTGTATGAAATAACCCGAAACCTCCGCCGTCACGATTTCGGGTAACGGTGTAGCTTACCGGCGTAGTTTTCGCGATCTGCACGGTATGTTGTAGCTCGTCGGCATCGTGATCTCGTTATCATTTCTGTTCCGCACGTGTTATAATGCAATTTACAGTTTCACTTTAATATTATTATTAACTCTTGTGTATCGACTGTTGGAAACAACGTTACACAGCGAACGCTTACTGTGTCGGTATGACACGCATTACATAATCTACTATCATAATCTTATCACGTATTATTCCAATGTTTTACACAGATAATATAAATTAGATAAGGTACAATCTACATTGATAACAGTTTCAAAAGTCACACGGACATCAATGAATAACCGGCGCGGTAACCCGTAAACGATCTACCGATAATTCAGCCTTAAATGGAGTTGCGACGTTGTAAACACAATTATGCGCGTAACCTACAAACGGTTTATTGAAATACAAAATTGAATTATGGAAACGGGCATTACGAAATGAAAAAGTGCAATATGTCGCGTAAATTATTATTCAAGAATATACCGTTTCGGAAAAAAACCCGCCGACAGGCGTACCACACTATCATAAGTGAGAAGTTCGGAAGGTATGATACATAGGGTAAGAGGGTAATTTTATTTATATCTGCGCGCAACAAGAAATCGGGCGCATCCATCCGGGCGGGGTTCGAAAATAATATTAGTTTTAAATTTTGAAACGAACCGGGTCCGTGTATAATTACAATAAAAATATGATGTAAAAACTCTAACGCGCAACACACTCAACACATTAAATCTGAATGTCATAAATTTCGAACGCAATCGTCAATTAAAAACCATATTGACCACTAGAAGACGAACAATTGTAAATCACGAAAATAAAATAGTTGCAACTAAACGTTATTTAGACAGTCCTAAGTCTGTAAAAATGGGAAGGAAAATGTTTTTTTTTTTTCTAGGGCCCAACAAGTACAGCAGGCTTATTAACACGGAACCCGATTAGTAAACAATTGAAATCTGGGACCCAACTATAGTATGCACCGAATAAACCAATGCTAACGAAATGCGATTTTTAGCGAAGGTTTTGATGAAATGCCACGGTTTTTACGATTTTCGTCAATATTTTTAACTTAAAATAAGTACTTATAACAAAAAATTACTACATTATTCGTTTTTTTGACCACCGAGTACAGTTTATAATCAACCTCGCATGTTACCTACATTTTCAAGCTATTTTATTGGGTCAAACCATTTTATTTTCATAAAATCAAATAAAAAAACTGGAAAAGGTTAAATACTTATAAATATTTTTTAAAAATCGACACAATTTTACAACATCTAGAATAGGTTATTATTAGGAAAAATTCAAATTTCTGAAATTATTTTAAACCTAATTACAAAAAAATTAATAAATAAAATAGCGATAAATTATTAAAAGAAGACAACAAGAAAATCAAAAATTGACTTGCTCAAATTAACCAAATAGATTTAAAATGTAACATTATTTTAATTGGAACACGTTTTCTTATAGAAAAGATGGGTATAGACAAAAAAAAAAAAAAGCACACACCGTAGTAAAACCAATACATTCCTTGCTACCCTCAAAATCTAAAAACGTTAGAGAAAAATATTATGCGCTAAATGATTTAGCATATATTTTTATTTAGCCTAAATAATAAATACAAGAGACTCTATTATAGGCACATTTCAATAGTCAATTGGTGGTAGATTGGCAGAATCAAAAATACCTACCACCTATCGTTTTGCAGTAGTCAATCAATAGTTATGTTCATAAAAAAAAGGGGTACACTTTTGATTAGGAACACTTGAGGCAGCCACACCATGGCTTGTTTATTTAGTCATTAGCCACGTCATCAAATGTGTAGGTGTCTTATCTACATTAAAATGTAAAATATATGTAAAAAATATGTAAAATATTTAATAAAACGGACAAAGCTATTATCTACGCGATAACTTACTATTTTTACAGCGTGTGAAACTAGTTTATAGGTGGAATCCTCAATATAGAATTATATTATAGTGTATTATCGATATTATTAAATCGTAGATCATTTACAACACCATTGTCAGATCTGGTATTTAAATACCTACATATCATATTTTAGTGTCCATGGCATACCTTCGTTAAATTATACTTGCTAGTTACTAGAATTTTTTTTTATGACAATACACTCACTATACAGAGCACGTAGTAGATGTATTATTAATTATCGATGAATTTCTAAAAAATTCTAGATTTTTCCATCTAACTTTCTGATCAGAATAACACTGTTATACATAGGTACTTTTTTTTGTCTAGACTAAAACTATCAACCATGACAATATAAATGTATTTGTAAGTTTCTGTGTCTAAATCTGAGTCTAACGTTTTTCGGTTATCCATTTCCGGTATAGGTATATAATTTACTGACATGGGTTTATGATATCTTTTCTTGGGTACCTAATCTATTCTGTGGTATGACATCGAAAATGTATTGTCTCAGTTTTGTGATCTTTAGAGATGTAGGTAACCTATGACTAACACCTTGTACAATGTATCAGAATTTAGTAGCGTGTCACTTCTTACGTTAAGAGAAAGAATACAAACAAAAACCAAACATATTTTAATATTTATCCAACGGTGACAATAATTATCGTTTTTGTTTCCGTCTGTATTAAATAATTATACCATGGATAAAATGTATTTAAATTATAAATATAAATATACCTACATATTTATCTGGTGGTAAACATATTTTTTTAATTTCCACTCAACCTATTGTAGATTTTGTTTAATCATATTTATTAATATCATTCAAACTATGTATTCTATCTAATAAATATTTTAATTTTACTTAAGTACCATACATTTTACTGGGTAATGTCAATGTTTGTTTTTTAAAATATTAAGTATATTATAATTGTTTACTAAATATCTGTCGATTTAAAATGATGTTTTGATATTTTAAAGCAAACAATAAACTTCTATAAATTGTAATACCTAATAATTTTTAATATACATTTTCAAATTCCATTAAAAAACAAAATTATTTATTATTATTCTAATTGAAATTAAAAGTGGACAAATTGATTTATATTGTATCAGTATAAAAAAATAAGAATACCTTCTATTTTAATTTTGTTAATCATTTTTAGGAAATCTAAAATGCATTTTTGATTTGGTATTCAGTTTGTAAACAGGTCAAATTAAGTATTTTATTAATATATATGCTAAAACTCCAAAAATAATTTAGATTTTCAGTACTTATTACATTTATTTGATAGTTAATAACATGGAAATTAAAAATTTAATCGTAGTGGTACAAAGAACAAATAATTAGAATAAAATTAACAAAATATATAACTAATCTAAAAATAATATAAAATAATAATCAGTATAATAATAAAAATAATAATAATAATAATAATAATAAAAAAACTGGAATTCATAAAGAGACCATAAGGTTAGGGTAACCTAACCCCAAGGTGATTTGAGTCTTGTAAAATTGTAATAACTTAAAATTAATACTCAACGGACTATTTTATATGTGTGTGTGTGTGTGTGTATGTATATGTGCATATATATACACATCAACTTTATTTAAATATTTTAAAAATATACATTATTATCATTTATATTAGCCATATGCAAAATGTAATTAATGATATAAATTCATATTTTCATGCATTTGATTTAAAATAGTTTTCAATTTTTAATTAAAAAAACAAATGTTTCCAAACTGGTCCCAAATTAATTTATTTCATACATTTTGCTAATTAACAGTTACAATTTTAAATAATTCGCATCAGATCTATGATGATAAAAAGCCATTTTAAGTATAAAGGATAGTAATGTATTCTTAAATAATAAATATATTAGACATTAATAAAGAAGAAATACAAATGTTAAATGATTTATAAAAAATATAAATTTTAAATGCAATAATACATAATTTATTTATGTAAATAATGACTACATTGTTCATCAGCCCTAAACATAGGGTTGAAAATAAATGAAACTATCTTCTTTTTATACAAGATATATTATTTATTTAGAAATTACAAGGTTAAAATAAAAAGAAAAAATGAATATTGTACAAAAAAAAAAAAAAAAAAACACACGACTATCTAAGTATCATGGGTCGAGAAGGTCCAACAACATTTTATAAAGAAACTCATTAAAAAATAACATTAAAATTCTGATTTTTTTTTTTTTTTTAATAGATATAACAAATATTACAAAAATGATACTATAGGATTTGTTATTTTTGTACACATTTCATAATTTCTATGTACACATATTTTATACTCTAAACCACTGGGAAATGCACTTATGTCAGTTATACATGATAAATAATTGAGAATAATAATAAGCACATAGTGCTTATTTTGTAAATATTCATTAAGCTTAAGATATAAATATTTTTTTTTGATTACAGTCTAAATTAAAATAACCATGCTACTATTTAACTGTAACAATATTACACCACTTAACTCATTTTTTTCTTAACTGAGTATTGCCAACATTATCAAATTTATCATGTAACTAAGAAACATTTGAAACATATAAAATAAATTATGGTATTTTGTAAATTGTTTTATATTAAATATAAATAACCATAATGCTAAATAATTGGTGGTATTAATTATAAAAAAAGTGACATTAAAAGATACAGAAAGTAAGTAGCACCAAGCAACTTAATAGAAAAGAAATTGTAAAATAATAAACAATTAAAAATTCACAATGAAAATGTATTTGTATTTAATTTACATTTGTAGAATTAATTAATTAATTAACTTATGGATTATTTAAATACATAATATATAAGTTTATTTTTTAATATAAAAATGATTAAGCTATATAGATTACATGATTAGACTATAAAATTAGGCCATAAGTTTGTTCAACAGCATTATAGGTCCCTAGTTAATATATAAATTTCTTACCATACTATACATTACACAATTTAATTATTATGTGCGTTCTATTATTTTGCAGGAAGAACTTTTGTTTATTGTTAGTTGTTGTACACAAGCAAAATGTGTATCAATCTGTGAACTGATTGTTACCAGTCTTGGACAATCCTCTGTTGGATTTAAAGTCCCTATTTCATAAATATATTAAAGTAATTTCAAATTATAAAAAGTATTAATTGATTCATCATTATTTAGTAATGTCTGTTATTATTATAACAGGTATTGCAATTATAGACATTTTTAAAACTATTAAAACTATACATCCGAATCACACAAAATACACAATTGGAAAATACTTCAAAAATAAGAAGTTAACTCACCAGTGACAACATAGTCATGATTGTTAAATTATTGCGCATTTACGTTTTGGCTTCACAGGCGATACAGGACATAAAACTGCTCGAATGGCTTCATCGAATACAATTTTTAAACCCTTCTGAGTAAGAGCACTACATTCCAAGTACTTAACTGCTCCAATTTCTTTGGCCATTGATAAACCCTATAAATGATTAAAAATTAAGCATGTGAGGAAAACAAAATACTAAATGTACTGGAACAATAATAGGCACCTGTGGATATGTGATAGCAGTTAATTTCTTTTCCTTTAGCTTGTCAATAGTTTCTTTATCCTCTCGTAAATCAAGTTTTGTACCAACTAATATAATTGGAGTACTTGGACAATGATGTCGAACTTCTGGATACCACTAAAACACATGAATTTAATATTATATTGACTTGAAAAACAATTATTTCCATAATAATTATTATCTTACTTTAGCTCGCACATTTTCGAATGATGCAGGATTTACTAATGAAAAACATATAAGAAATACATCCTGAAAAAAAAATATCCGATTAAAAAAATTGATAATTAACAAAAACACAACAGTCAATAATTTGTATTATACATTTAATAGTTTAACATCAAAGGTCAAATACCTAGGCATCACATAGACTAAAAGTCCGCTTCATAAGGACCACACCTCAAATTGATGAAAAAAATAATTCATTCTATACTATAATCTATAATTCATACTAAAAACTATTCCTACATATATTATGAAATCAATCATGTGCTAAAACTTTACAAGATTCGTACCAGGTTTTATGAAATTTTACTGAACCGATAACTGTATTGGTTCTATAAAATAAATAAATGATATCAAACACAGAATTTTTGAATTGACAAGTTGTTGAACTAATTTTATTTGTGTACAATTTGCAGAGTTGTTTAACCAGAGAATATTTAGTGAACTTTTTCATTATTATTTTAATTATAATTTTGCAAAAATTATATTTTATTTTCTTGTAACTGAGAACTTATTCTGTGCGGATATAAATAAAATGTTAGCTTCATGGAGATATGATGATTATTCAAATTTTGATTAATTAACGTTGTAAATTTAAATTTAACATACTGTTTGTGGATATGATAGAGGCCTCAGTCTATCGTAATCTTCTTGACCAGCAGTATCCCATAATCCTAAGTTTATTGGCTTCCCATCAACCATTACATTGGCTGAGTAGTTATCAAATCTAAAATTAAATAAGATAAATTACAGTATTTAATATACAAGATGTGCAACATAATTAGTTAAATTCAGTACAGGTATATAAAAAATAAAAAAAATATACTATTTATCTACTAATTATAAAAGTAAAATAAGTTTGTTATAAACATAAGTTCCAATTTAAATGATTAAAAAAGCCACGGAGCCAATCATTGCAAACGAAAATAGAATTTAAATTGAACATTTGTGGATGAATTTAAATTTTAATATTGTATTAATTTATATTTTTTTTCTTTATACAAAATACATCTCATAACAATTACCAAAAAATAAATACTTAAAATGATGCCGTTATTTTACGAGTTTTGTAAATTGTTGAATTTTAAATTCATTTTTTTCTGGTTTTTACTACAACATAAGTACAACTTATAATTAATTTTGTATTAAATTTTTGATAATTTTAATAAGGGTAAATAAATTCAAAAAATCCAAATAGCTACAAATAATTAATAATCAGATGGAATATTTTGAAAATCGTACTGTTTAGAAAGTGCTAATAAAAATAATTGAACATTTAAAGTTTCACTCCATGTCTCTATGAATATTTATCACTGAATAACAACAAAAAAAAAACAAAATCGAAATAAACAGAAAACGATATTGCCTAAAAAATATCCTCCTCAATTTATCAACAAGACAAACATTTTTAACGGGAACCACCCATAATGTTGATAGTTGAAGCAAGATTTCTGATTGATAAGTGGTTTTTAGAAAAATAAAACAAACACCATAGTAAAAGTAATAGACATTTCTTGCTCCACTCAGAATCTAAAATAATAAACGACATATATTTAAAAAATTCAAACATTTTAGATATTATCAATTCGTAGCCATAAATTAGAATAACATATATATGAAAAAAAATGCAGTTTATTGGCATATTTACATATTAAATACAATTAATATGCTTTCTGAATAAGGATAAAATAATATCTTTTAAAGAACAATTACTTTAAGTAATAGTTAGTACTTAGGTAGTTTGTTTTAATAGGTAAGTAATCATTTAATGGGTCATGAATATCAAAACATTGAAGGAATTCATTTGATTTGTCAAAGTAGTATTGTCTATTTAATTAAACTAATTAAAATATTTAATCAAAGCATAGAACAAATTAAATTGCACAATTTAATCAAGAATAACTAATAGGTAATATTACAATACAATATTGATGTTACATAAAAGCTAATTAAATGTATACCTTATACTATTTACTTCATGTAGACACCTGTAGGATTAAACAAAAATTACTTACACAGTAGGTATATATTCTCCAGGAAATGCATTGCTTGTGTAACTAATGAGTAAACATGTTTTACCAACCGCTCTATAAATAATAACAAAATATTAAAACTATAGAATTTCACTTTTATTAAGAAAAAAAAAAAATAATAATAATAATAAACGCAATAGGTACCCCCATTCTAATATTTTAAAAGTAACTTGAACTAATCCAGAAATGTGGAGATGTATTATAATTTTCTAAAAAATTAGACATAAATTTCAATAGCATCATTTTTAAAATTTTTTTTTAACGAAATACCTGTTTGAAATAACCACCAAATGATAACTAATTATATTTTATACAAATCGCAAATCCGATATTTCACATTGACAATAAGACTCATTGTTAGCTATAATCTTATGAGTTAAAATATTTAATTTAATGAGTTGCCTATCTTTGTGTGTAGATATAGTTGAACGATGATGCAACACAGTGGATAAAACCTTTTAATTGAAATAACACAAAGGCTAGGGGACAAGGAAGATGGGGTCTAGAATGTGTTAATAGATATTGACGACATATAAATGGTAACTATTTGTAATATTTTAATGTTTAATAGTATTATAATATCTGCATTGAACTTACCCATCGCCGACTACAACACACTTGATAGCTTGCATTTTGCGCGGCCGACCCGAAACCGAACACAACCTATCGGGAAATCGCGGTGCACGTTATTAACCGATTATTTAACATGTACAAATCGTTTTTATTGGCCGACAAATGCTTTTTATTAATGTGGGAATCAAACATTGGAAAATGTCAAAACTGGTGGCCGTCGTCGTGATTTCGGGGCTTAGCAAGTGCAAGGACATTCCAGTGATTCCACCCACGGTAAATAAAATAATAATAAAAAAAAAACCAACTCTCATGGAAAAAATATCATGGCGGAAACGATCACGTAAGCCTTGATAATATCCGGCCGTCGTTATGCCACCCGTTAATCGTGAGTTTAAATGTAAAGATTTTTAATTTCTTTCAGAATATCTGTTGAATTTCATGTCAAAAAAAATCAAAAAACTTAATAAAAGTTTAAAAAAAATTCAAATCAGCTGTTCTTACCAGCCGCAGTGAAAGCTTCAAGATTTGTTATCATTAATTTTATCATCTAGTGATTTGTACACTAAAATACCCTTTCCCATTCAACTATAAGTGTTTAATAACATTAACAACTCTGTACATTTTTATCTATGCCTGTCGCTTGAGTACAGGAAATATTATTATTGTTATCGTAATATTCGTAATATTTTGTTTAGTAATTTACTACGCAGTCAACATTTTATAATAAAGCAGTATTATAAAAAATTACGATCTATTTATATTTGTACGGTTTTAAGAATTACAAAAATCACATTATCTTACAATCCACATAGTGGTTCTGTATTGTTCATTAAATTACAAAAAATATGTTTCGTTCAAGAAAATTGGTTAAACCAGAAAATCTTCACTCGTTGGAGTATCTCAAGTAAATTTTATATTGCATAATGTATTATGAAATATAATTTATGCATTGGTTTTTTCATAGATACATTTATACAGTACTAAGCAAAAATCAGACTGTTACTGACAACAATCGTACATTATTAGTTGAATCATTTAGAAGTATGGCAGAAATTTTAATATGGGGAGATCAAAACAACCCAACCATTTTTGAGTAATTAAAATTTTTTAACTTTTAAAGCATCTACTTACAAATTTGTTAGATACGTAGGTATTAGTATTTAAACAGTTTGCTATAGGAAATAATAAGTAGGGTTTTCTCCAATTTATATTTTATTTATTACCTACTTACATATAATTTTAATCAAAATTGTTTCCACTAAAAATCAAAAACAACTCAACAATTTCAAATAGCTATAAATAACTCAAAAACCAATAGGATATTTTTAAAACTGCATGTGTATATCAAGAAATTGCTAATATTATTTTTATTTTTTAAATATCAGGTCTATAATAATATTTTTTAATGACATAAAAAAGAAATCAAAGTTAATACTACCTTGTAATGCGTAATTATTCTAGTTATCCTTTATTATTAAGAAGAATTTAAGGAATCATCAAAATGTTTATTCCCTATGCACCAACCATTTACCAGATATTATAATTAACCTTTAAAGTTGTTGATTGGAGCAAGTCTTCTGGTCAAAAACTTGTTTACAGATGCAAAAAAAAAAAGAATTTATATTTTGTTTCCCCTCAAAATCAAAAATTATATAAAAGTACAATCATCGTGTTCAAATTTAAAATTATATTGATCAATAGATTTTTGGGAAATAATATAGCAAATTATTGTTTTATCTACCATAACTAACTATGCATCTGTCATGATTTGAATAAAAATCCTGTATTGTATTTATCATTAAAAAAAATTAAATATAATATGCATTAGTCATATTTAGTAATATAAAGATTTCCAGATAAAAAAAAAAAAACAACAAAATATATAATATAATAAATTAAATTTAGTAATCATTATTTGTAATATTATATCATTTTCAGTGAAGAATTTATTTTAAAGGATTTATTGACATTTTATTTCATAATTAAAATACAGTCAACACATGGAACTTTAGTTCCTTGATATAACAAAAAGTTTTGCCAAAGCATAATGTAACAAATTTTTAAAATTCTGGAGCTTGATATAACAAATTTTAAATTTATATCAAAATAAGATATATGTTTGATAGACTGAACTACAGTACAAACTACGTAATTCTACAAAAAATACATAACTAATAAAAATACAAATAAATAGTTTGCTATTACAAAATTTTTCTAGCATGAATATTGCATTACATCATTGCTATTAAGATAAGTGTCAATAAATTTATGACATATACACAAATAAATGACTATGTGTAATAAACTTTCGATATACCAATCTTGAAACTCGTTATATCATAATTTCATTATATTAGTTTTACCTTTTTTAAACATTTACACATTTATATTTTTCAGATATTTCTTAGAAAATAATATGTTCAATTATTTTCTACGTATATTAGATCAGAAATGTGGAAATTATGTATGTGTTCAATTGCTTCAAACATTAAATATTATATTTGAAAATATTAGAAATAAAACTGCTTTATGTAAGTTATCGTATACAATTATTCAGTTTTACATAATGTTTATATGTACCTACTATTTTTTTTTCAGATTATTTACTTAGCAATAACCATGTTAATAGCATAATAATAAATAAGTTAGATTTCTCTGATGAAGATGTTTTAGCATACTACATATCATTTTTAAAAACATTATCTTTTAAACTTAATTTAAATACAATTCATTTTTTTTACAATGAGGTAATTATTGTAATTTATTTAAAAATAAATAAAATAATTGTTTCTTTTAATTAATATTTAAGTTTCTTATTGCAGGCTACTAATGATTTCCCACTTTATACAGAAGCAATAAAGTTTTTTAATCACCCTGACTCTATGGTACGTACATATGTTCGTACATTGACACTTAATGTTTATAGAGTTGAAGATGAAAGTATGTTACAATTTATCAGAGACAAAACATGTGCTCCATATTTTGCAAACTTAGTGTGGTTTATGGGTAAGCACGTTTTAGAATTGGATGCTAGTGCTAGAGCTAAACCAGTTGATGTTGATACTCAAAAAACCATACAGTAAGTAAATATGATATAAATAAATTACAGCTAAAATTGTATAATGTTTGGTTTGGAAGGATTAGGATCTTATTATTAATTTAATTAATTTTTATATTCATAGAGATCAATATAGAGTAAAACTTGCAGATCTTGTAAGTTCTCATTTAGATGATCTACATTATCTAAATGATATTTTAAGTTCTAAAGTTGATATACTGAATGAAGTGCTTGTTGATCACTTAATGGATAAACTATTTGTACCGTATTATATTCATTCATTAGCACCACCAGATAAATATATAATTGTAGAAACTGAAGAGGTTAATAAGTAACTTAAAAATTCCTATTAGATTATTAATATATATATGTATATTTTTTCTTTTTAATATTAAATAGTTTGTAGATGCTGTAAAACAACAACCATTAATGAATGTTGATATATGTTTATTTTTATTAACACAAGTATTTTTGATAATACATCAGACCAAATTGGTTACACCATTAGCTAAATTTTTATTGGGAAATAATTTTTCAGAAAACTATCAAGTAACTAAACTTTTGGGTTTTTAAAATATTATTTATATAATTGTTTAATTTCTATTAGTTTTTTTTTAAAGGTTTATCATGGTAGTATATTAAAAGATGAGGCATCAGCATTACCAGAAAATGAAAATGAAGTAAAAAATGACAATGAATCTGATATTTTAGATCTTAAATCATTAACATGTATGAATATAACAGACGAAGAAAAAGAAATACTTTTATCAAAAAATGAAGGTGTTAAATAAATCTAAATTTATATTTTTATTTCATTTTTTACTATGCATTATATTAACTTGTGGTCAATTTCTAATCCACTTCCCATGGTCCAATCAACTTGAAATTTCGAATGCACTCATACTTTCAATAACAATATAGTGCTCAATAATCAGATTTTTATGAACATTTTCCATTATGATTTATTTTTTCTATAAGAAAAGAACTTTTACATTTTTTAAATTTATTATTTTTGTATGGTAGCTGATTCTGCACGCAGTCAATGTTTAGAATCTATATACAGTCAATTGATAATTGAAAAATCTGATAGTTCTGCATTATTTGGGATATGTTTGTTATATGCTTTATCAGAAAACTCGGGCCTTTCTAAAGAGTATTATGAAGGATTTTTAACTCCTACATTAAGTGAAGGATGTACACCATTTGTTCATTGTGATGAAAGAAATGAACTTATTGACAAGTTGGTTAATATCATAACAGCTATATCAGAACCAGGTTTGTCATAAATAGTTAAATTAATGTATAACTAATTTTTTATATTCATATTTTCATACGTTTTATAAACAAATTGTACAGTTTGTTATGTCCGCTCAGCCACATTAGAAATGGCCATAACATTACTGAAAAAATTAACTATATACAAGGAAAAAACATTTATATCTGATGATCATATAGCTGTTATTTACAATGCCAAAGAAAAGATTTTACCACTTCTACGACAATTTTTCAAAGTAATCATAAGACCCTATATTATTCGCGTATAGAAAATAAATACATTTTATTTGTTCAGAAAGAAGAAATGTTTTTAGAGTTATTTGAAGATGAGTATTATGAAATGCACAGAGAAAAACTCAATGTTCAACGACTTTTAAGTGATTCAACATTATTACTTCCACCTGCACATTCTCCCATGACTGGAATACCTCTTTCTAAACGTTTACCATGTGGAGATGTATGTATTTCACATTTTTATCATTAGAATAAAATTGTTGTTAACTATACTATGTAATGTATATTACATAGACATTTTCAGAAAAATACCACTATAATATGAAATTAACAGTATAAAATCCATTAAATTAATGAGCTAAAACCATAATAAAGTATTTGTATAAACAAGTAATATTAATTAAATAACTCAAATAAATAGGTATTTTATATTATTAAATAATATAAAAATGGACAAAAAAATGAAAATCATATAATTTATATTTCTATGTAAAAACAATAAATACTATTAAAAATTACATTTAATTGACTCAATAATATTTTTATTTTACAATTCATCCATTAATATTACTTCAACCATTTAAAGTTAATTTTTTTATCGCGGACAACATTTTTATTTTTATTAGGTTGAAAGAACAAGACATTTTATTTGTGCTTTTCTTATGATACGGAAATTATTAATGACATATGAAGGAAAAGAAGAAACACAATTACCTTTAGTTGATAGAACTAAGTGTTTTGTATTTGATACACCTATCAATTTAAGTAAGAAAGATTTTTAAATTTAATTACTTAAACAATTGTTTTTACTATTTTACTAATACCAGAAACAAGCTATACCCTGAATATTTATTTAATAATTAAATAGTTATATATGATATGTATGTATGCATCAGAGTGCAGTTTTGGGCCCTTACTTGCTTTTTGTTTTAATTAATGAAGTTACAAATGAAATACAAGACGAGGTATCTTGGTATTTGCAGATAATATAGTTTTGATTGGGGAACATTTAAAAGAAGTTAACAATGGGCTTGATGAATGGAGAGTAGTACTTAAAGTAAAGTGACTAAGTATTAGTAGAAATAAAACTAGAGTATATGAAATATGAGTTTGAAGGAAGAAGACAAGAATTTGATGGTATTAGGCAACATATGTCAAAAAACTATGACATAATAGACGAGATTGCAAGTCTTAAATACCTAGGATTTATTGTACAAAATAATGGTGGCTTTGCCAAAGATTTAAAATATAAGTGTGATTGGATAACATGGAGAGATGCATCAGATTTTTATATACTAAGAGAATTCCATTAAGATTTAAAGGTAAGTTTTAGAAGAGAGTATTAAGACAAAGTATGTTGTATTGTTCAGATACAAAAACAGGTGGTTGGATGCAATTGAGAATATGAGGACAGCCAGTCTATGGCAGGATGGTGTGGAAGATCAGTGGAAAAGTGAAAGTTAAGGATGAGGGTGGCAAACCCCAATAATTGAGATCAAGGCAAATGAGAAGATATATTTATATATGTGTTTGTAAAAGTGTGTATGTTAGATTTTATCTATGTAATTGTTTAAATTTGTTATATGCTCGTATCCAGTGATGCTACCATTCTTATACAGATAACAGTGTTAAAAATCAGGTAGCTGAAACGGGAAACAAACCCAAGTCTCATACTTGTTGAGTGATTGCACTACCATTTGAAATACCCGGGGTCTGACTTCTAACACTTTCAACTGTACTTGAATAACCTAAAGTTATGGGTATGGTAGATTATGTACAGTTGAGAAAACAATTTGGCTGTGTCATGAGTATTTATGAGTATTTAATAAATGTATGTATAAAATAAAATTGATATCATATACCCAAAGACTGCAAAGCCAACAGTTAACACTTACATGATGTATTAGTGTTATATATTAGTTCAATACCTTTGATATATGATAATAAATAGAATATTTGCAGACTATGTGATATAAGCAACGAAAACCAATTAAATTAAAACTTTTTTAAATTTCACAAAAAAATTTAAACATTATTAAATTAAATTCTATTAATTATTTGTATACCAGTCAGCTCTATCTATGCAACATAAAGTTTCATACGCAAACATGACAAAAAGTGAATTCAAAGGAAATAGACTGCAAACAGTCTACATAATATAGGAAATATATAAAAACTAAAAAAAATCTCAAATGAAACCCTTCTCTGTAAAAATACGTCACTTTACTAAATCACTTATTTTATTAATTTATTATCAATATAAAAGGAAATGGATTATTTTTAGCTCTAGTACACTAGTAACTTTAAAAATAACTTAAGTCAACTTGTAATACAACAAATTTCAAGGAATTGAAAAAAAAAGTTTGTTACATCTCAATTTGTCATATCAAGAACATAAATCAACAAAATTAGTTTTAACGAGATTAAAAGCAAAATTCAAAATTTAAATCAACACTACAAATAAATATTTATATACATTCAATATTATTTACATACATATAAATATATTATATATACTTAGTAAAATCACAATACATAGTAAGTACATATTTATAAAATAAACAAGTCATTAGTAATGATTATTTACGCAGTGACTCATTACTATATAAATATATTAACAATAATGTAAAGTATATTTCTGTACTTTTATCGACATTTTATCTTAATAGCGATAATGTACTGTATTATGTATTCCGGAAAAACTTCATAATAGCAAGTTATTTATTTTCATTTTTATTAGCTGTATATTTTTCGTTAATTCATTATATGAATGGATATATATCAAATCATAATAAAAATTTAAAATTTGTAATATCAAGATCCAAAGTTGTACAAATTTGTTACATTGCAAGAGCTTTGACCAAAAATCTTCGTTATATCGAGGTCACCGAAATATATTAAATTTTTCGTTACATCACGACATTTTCAAAAGAATGACAGTTCCATTCGTTATTTTGCATATTGACTGTATTTACTTACATGTTTTATATATATTTATTTACTACATTAACTAATTAAAATGTGAAATAATGTAAATTTTTTTATTTATTTAATGTTTTATATTATTTAATTCCAGACGGCAATGACCTAATTACTTGTATGATAATTGCTGAAAATGGAGCAAAAACCAGACGATATTTATCAATCATTAGTAGTCAGTTAGTATTAGTTGAACCACACAGTCGGTTTCTTGGTTGGGGTGTTTGCAAATTGTCTTGTTATCTTCAAGATACTGAAGTAAATATTTAATATTAATTTTTAGTATAAAATAGTTATTTTAATACTTATAATATCCAGGTTACAAAAATTGACAATGAAACTAAAACTTTACACATTATTATGCATAATTCAAAATATAAAATGACAAACACAGTGAAATTAATGTTTGATGATCATATTAGATGCAATGCAGCAAGACAAAAGTAATACATTATTTAATAGATAGTAGTCATAAAACATACATATTTAAATAATAATTATTATTAATTATGTCAAATTCATTATTTATAAAGGTTGTTGAATGGTAGAATTAAAGCAAGGAGAAAGCAACTTAATCAGATTGCAAATTTATTAGAAATGAATAGTTGTGAAACAAATTATGCACCTTGTAATACAACTCAAAAACAAAGTTAGTATTTCTGTTAATTTTAAGCACAGATTTTACTGATGTAGTGTAATTGTTATTTAGAACATGGTTTGAGAAGCCACTTCACTGATATTGCAGTACATACATCTAACGTACTTCAGCCGTATCCTATTTCTATGAAATCTACTAATAGTAAAAAAATAAAAATATTAATAAATGTTTATAATTTTATAAATAAAAATTGTATTTACTTAGGTGATGAATATAGTGCAGAATCAAATTGTAGTAGTTCAACACATTCCAGAGACCAATCACCTTGCACAAAAAACTTAAATAAACCAGAATGTACCAACTCTCAAAAGGTATATCTAAATTATATTTAGTAACATTGACTCAAACAATATATTTTCTGTTGTTAAATTCAATATAATTGTTTTTGATAGGTGTCATTAGTAAGTCAATCTCAAGAAAAAATTGAACCGAAACGAAAAGGAAGAGTGGAAACAGTTTGAAAACATTCCACATGCGTGCAATTTTATTAATTTTATTCTCAAATCAAATGAATGTTCACTAAAAGTAATTTTATGGAGTCTCATTTGAAACATTAAATATATGATTGCACCTTTACTTGATATGTCTTATCCTTGTCTAATAAAATTTATTTATTAGGTATGTGGAAGTATTGATAAATTAACAATGCACATTAAAATATAGCTAATTACTAATGTGTACTTAATAATGAAATTTTCCTAACCATATTGGCATCTATTTGGGGCTATTATTTTATAATTGTTATAATTAATTTACCATAACTTAAATTTAGATGTTATACCTATTGTTATAGATTTTTTATGTTTGTTCTATTAATTATATTATATTGTAAAACTAAAAACTGTTTTTAATAAATGCTCAAAATTATAGTACAATACACAGCTGACTTTTGGTTATGTATACCTTGTACATCAATGTTGTTAATTATAATTATTTTTAAAAACATATAGGTATATTTGAATTAGTCAAAAATTAAACAACTAGAGGTTACTCCAGTAATTTGGTCATAAAAACAATTTTGCACATGCTATAGAACTAAGAAACCAAATTTTTGCCATAATAAAAGGAGAACTTGAAATGCTTAATGTTGGTTTAAATTCTTCGATACTATAAAATAAAATAAATTTATTGTTCTGAAATCTAATATTTTGTAAATTAAAATTAAAACCATTGTTGCACATTTTATTTTTCCAATACCCAAGACTTAAACACAGGAGATAACATGTTCTCCTAACCAGTCATTGGTATTGTGGTGCTCACCTCGTTAGTATTTTAAGAACTACTTTTTTATTGTTTTCTTGATTGATCTGATACTATTTGTACCTTCAATTAACATGTGTCTAAATGTACATTTATAATTATAATAATTTTATAAACATTTCTTGATTAGATATTGACATGCAAAGTCCATAGTGTATGGTTGGGCTCACTTAATAGTATCAAAGTAATATTTTTTTGTTAACTTGTTTTTGTATATTTATTTTTCTTTTATTTTTTTTATGTTTTTATTTTAAAATGTGCGACAATATTATTTTGTGGCTTAGACAATCTGAAGAAATTAATTAATTAGAAGATTCAGATGATATAGACGCCGATTCTGATAATGTTGAATGTTTTTAATTTTTTTTTTGTAAATGATTAAAATATAAAAAATTTGGTGTTGGTTTGAATATTCTATGTTTATTATATAATAAATTATGATGAAAAACGAGCTGAGCGTGGTGCTTACTCAATACCAATAGTGGGACGTTTCTAGCGATTGTAATATCCAGGGTTAATAATCCATAATCTGCCTATGGTTAAGTTCCAATGACAATAAAATATATACTTACATATTATATTATAACTTTTGAAAATAGTTCATAGAATATATTTTTTTAAATCTTTGACAACAAAAACATTGAGAGAACATTTATATGTATTATCATTTGATGTGGAAAAATCAATGTTTATTCTGTATAAAAAAACAGATACTTAATCTAACATATATTAAAATTTATTTTTCAACTTTACAAATAAAAAAAAATTGAAACAAAATAGTGTGTAAAATAATCAATAACAATTCAGTGTGCATTATTATTATAATACATACTTATTAAAGTTAATTTAAATCACAATGTTTGAATATTTAAGTATATTCATTTTAGTTTTTTCCAACTTACTAACATAAGGATTATTTAGAATATAGAATCTGAGATATTTGTCTTGCCATTCTTTTTCACATTTAATACCTATTCTTGGTGAACAAACAATTTGGTCAACTAATCTACTTTGTTCGTCTTCTTCTATCCACATTCCATCCCAAGAAGTCAGATCTTGTTTATTGCAAGACTTTATGTCAATTGCAAAACTCATACATAATTTTGCTGGACCGTTGCATAAATCTTTACTTTTGATCGAAGTTTTGGCACATTTTCTAAATTGTTTTCGTAAAGATGTCATAGTTTCTATGTTTTCCAAAGGTTCCAACGCCCTTAACAAAACTGCAGCACCGTCTCCTATAAAAGTAAAATAGTAAAACATTGGCACAATGTGGTGGATTATAATAGGTACCTTTACTTGAAATATTAAAGCAATGGTACATGCCGTAGGTCATATAAACATAAGCCGTTCCTGGTTTCATGAACATTGGTTCATTCCGGGCGGTCAATTTCCCTTTAAACGAATGAGAAGCTGCATCTTCGTCGCCCAAGTAACTCTCAGTTTCGACAATTCTACCCCTAAGAACAACATTACCGTCCAATTGTCTGACGAGTACTTTTCCCAGTAAACATTTGGCCATTTCTTCACAGGGTGCATCATAGAACTGGTCATTCAATCTTTTTTGATACTTCTCGGAGCTGAAGTATTCAGAACACTGACTGTTGTTGCATGTCATAGTAGGTTTGAAAGTTTCAAAGGATTAAGAATTTTAAAAATTCAAAATAAATTGTGCAAGTCCAAATGCCAATGTACTTAATCAATAAGTAAGAAGTTTTAAAAACTATAAACATCACATATACATTTTTGTATGTAAAATAGGAAATAATGTTAAATAATAAACTTTATTGATTAGGTAGGTATGTTCAGTTTATAAAGTATTAAAAATAATAGGCGTTGACAATTTCATTATAATGACACGCGCCTACCCGATGAAAGAACGTTGAAAATACTTTTTGAAATTTTTTTTTTTTTTATCAGTTTATCACAAAATTACTCAATACGCGAGTGTGTAACAGACAACTTAATTTAGACCGCGCATTGGTTGAACGAACGGTCTTTTGGAAGACGTTATCCCCGTTCCGCATACACTGTCGGCATTTATAACCGTGTATAGTGTACGATAATAGTTCGCACACCACACACTTTCGGCGTTTTAAGTTTTAACGACCTAATGCAGTAACGGCGTGAACGAATCATTTTTCAATTTCATCACGAAGACACCGAACTCCGAACACAAACGATGGGACGACAAGAAGCGTTCCGCCACCAAAGCATTTTGCCACCAAGACCGCGTCGCTCGATAACGGTAATCTATTTTACATTCGTACGTAACGAGAATAATGTACGTTTTTCAAATTAAATAAGATTTATTATTACTTACAAATTGTTTTCCCGGGTTGTCGACCGAGTTAACGTTTGACTGATAATCTAATAATCGAAGACCGTGGTTTGACTTGTAGCTGTTAACCTAAGTAGACACCTATTGATAGATGAAAGATGATTATTATAACAGATGTATGTGTGCCTACCTGCAAAAATGGATATTTGAGATTAACGGGTTAAAATTTTTATTAGGTTTTTCGCAAAATGGTCCACGTTGTCCGTAGGTTTATAGACTACAGCCATTGAAATCTACCCTCTATAGAAAACCATTTGGTGAAAAAAATGTATTTTAATTTATAATTTTTTCGATACATCTATGTCGGAACTCGTTTTTCACGTATTTTTGTTTTCCCTAGCAACATACGAATATGGACGGGGAAAATAACAGTTATTTATTATTGTTACACCGTATAACACTTTTAATCTGCCGAGGTGGATTACCGAGTTTCCCACCTATTTTATTTTATTTTATTCAACATGGACAACGACTGGGTAGGTACCTACTATAGCTTGGTCAATGTCGGTTTTCGAACTTTTTTCCGGGAAGAGGGGGATCTTTTGATATTAACTTACAATATATTTATGTAACACACGAAAAATATTTACCCAATATTTATGAATTTATTTTAATAAAACTAACATAGGTATCTACTTACCTATTATGTTTTTACTTATCTATACGAATATAACTTTTTTTTTAATCGACAACAAAGTTTGAATTTAATTTAAAAATTATAACATAAAATCTAATTTTCGTAGTCTAAACTCGGACGCTGGGAGGTCCAGATCCCCTGAACCCCCTCTTATAAAACCTGACGAAAAAATGTAATTGTGACCGGTGAACTACGAAATGACACACCTGGTGTGTAGGTACCTACTAGAACACTTTTAGTCTGCTGAAAGCAGAATATCCACTTTCCATCTTTTTTTATTTTGTTTAATAAAAATTAATACGAGCAACGTCAAGCTGCCCGCTAGCAGTATATGCATTTAAAATCCAAATTGTTTATGGTATTGTATAAATTTAAATTTAAAAATATTACGGGGATCGCCTCTACGTGGGCGACACGCGTAATTAATATTGCGAATTGATATGTGGCAAATTGGCAATACAGTTTAAAAGACGTTATTTGTTATGGGATTAAGATATCTTAATTCGTGGATGTAACTGGTAATTTGTACTACCCATATCACCCTGATAGTTTATTTTACAAACAATGCATGTTCAATGCGCGGTCTTAGATTGTATTGCAATCACGGTTTAAGATATCATTAATCGTGATTCAAGGTGGATTAATTTACCATTAATTTATCATTAGGCGTTAATCCACCTTGTCGTGATTGCAATATGTTCATGATCAGTCGGTGGCACGATATAATATTGATAACAAAGTATTCATTATCTATTATGCTGTGGCGGGTTTCGCGCCACATTTTTTCTTCCCGCTGCGCGTCGCTCGCGGCGGACGTCGGCCACGCCCCTCGCCGTCGGTGTTCAGCGGTCATCGTCCACAGCTCCGCTCGTCTCGACGTCACCACCGCTCCGCTCTCTCTCCGCACCGACGCCGTACGCAAAGCATTGTTTCCGACTTCGAATAATTATTATGTATAATTGTTTTTCTTAACTAATGTTGTTTTAATTGTTGCGTGCTCTCCTTTCCTCCGTCTAAAGCCGTCTGCTGGCGATCACTTGTGTTATGTCTTAATGTTGTAAATCAACGTTTCTTTATTACCTTATCATAAACCTCGTGTCTTGGTGTAACCCGCCAAATGCTTACAAATATCAAGATTATTCCCGATTGAAAGGAACTGTAGGTAGCGCTCTAGTCGGCACTAATGATAAGGCTACCGGGAATCTGATGGGCGCTAAATCATTAGAATAATAATAATTTAGCCAAAATAATCTATTTATTGCTGTTTTTTTTTTTTTTTAAATTTCCTCATTAAAACTTATTTTGTACAAAAGTACATAACGTTTAATTCTGTAATAGAAATCACCGACATAATTCAATATATATATTTATATATTGGTGATTTTAAAAGACCTTTTGCCGAAGGTTCAGAAATAGTTTAATGCAATCATATTATTGAAATAGTTTCAAGAGGAAAAAAGACGTCTTAGGATAATAGGAATGGGTGCAGTCACTGTTATAGGTAATTTAATATTTACCTGTATGCAACGATAAACCGTTGCTAACGAAAGAACGATTCTAAGCGGAGTTCAGTTGATAGTGATGTTTTGTGAACAATAATATGTCATATTATAGTAAAATAATTAAATAGGCATTATATATTTTCTTTAATAATATTTGTTTAATGTAACGATTTTCTCGTTTTTCCCATGTTTTTTCTTGGTTTTTCACATTTGCTGGGAAAACTCTTGGGAAAATCTAAAATTTACCTCCTTAGAGTACCTTCCCAGTCAAATTTCCTTTCAGAAAAAGTACTATCATTGTAAATCGGAGCAAAGTTGTCAGAAAAGTTGTTTACAAGAAAAAAGAATGCCGTAATGTTTTTTAACTGATACCCACACTTTGTATATTTTCCCGTTTTTCCTCCGTTTTTTTCCATTTGTTGATAAAAATTCTGGAAAACCAAAAAATAATTTTAGAATTATTGAACGGAAAGAAAATGTTGTCTAGTTTGTCGTTGTTTGATTTTCCGTACAGTTTTCCTGATAATTACGAAAAACCGGGAAAAAACGTAGTGCTTATAGACAAAACTACAAAAGTGCAATACAGAAAATATAATGATGATAATAATTACTTAAGACTAAACGATTTTTAAAATTATAATAATAATAATAAAATTATTAATAAATATTACGATTTTCAAAATATAACTATTTGCAAAAAGAGATGTACCGTCTTTCAGTCCCAATAGAAACAATTATTAAAGGGACGCTAAAAATAAACAATAAACAAATTAGTGGTTTACTGTTTCCCAATTCGAGCAACGTTTATATAGTTGCATATAAATACTCGGATGGTTAATTGGATGTAACATCCGCGTGTGCTGTCTCTGTCTTACAAGCCCGTGACATAGTCAATTTGCGTTCAGTAGGGACAACTGCGCTATTAGTTTAATATCAGAATTTCAGAATGAATTGGACAGTTATCAAAATTTTAGGTAAGAAAATTATCTCTGACAATATTTGTGTAATAGTGGACGATTTTCTCGATATTTTAGTTTTTAGAGAGCATACGAGTAAGTATAATATGTAAATTATCACAATTTAAAAATGTTTATACCTCGCTTAAGAATTAAAAATCGAAAAACACTTACACGGTTACATTAGTTCTTAGTTTCTAACCTTTAAATTTGAAAATAGTTTTAATATTTAAGTGAATTGAAATTGACCTGACAGCACAAAGTTATCCCTACTGAATTCAAATTTATAGTTATGTCGTATGTAAGAATTGTATGACGGAGACAGCACATGCGGGTTTCAAGTCTTGTTAAAGCATTTAATTAAAAGTATACGTAGTATAAGTACTTACGTATTACTTATAAACTTATTTTTACTTTTACTCTTTATGACATATTTAATAATGTGAGTTATACAAAGGAAACGGTAGGAAATTTGCTTGGCAAAAAGTACTAGTTTTGAAAGTTGATTTTTATTTTAAACAATTTCTTCTGGAATCTTAATATTGAATTTCAAGTTCTTAAGTACATATTTAAAGAATCTGCAATCTTTGGAAAAAAGATATTTCCATTTTATCTTTCAGTAAAATGTATAATTTTATTTTACATAGATAACATAAATTATAGGGCGGTTTGCGTTTGGGCGAGTGATTTAAAAATATTGTAATGTATTTGGATGACCTATAATAATCCATTTTTATTTTCTCTCATCTCGACAGACTTGAGACTGTTAGTAAATTCCACGAGTATGATTAAACATTTTAAATTAAAAATTTAATTCAAGAAAAAAAGAAACAAAAAAATAAAATAAATATGAAACGCATCAGTTATTCGTTTAGTAAGTAGTAAAAACGTTTTAAATATTTTCTGATCCATGTTTGTAGGTACACGACTCGTAATAATTAATACCTATAAACTATAGTAACTATATAACTAAAATACTATAACGTATTCATATTAAGTAAAATAGTGTTTAAATAATGATAAAATATACTTTTTAAAAATTTTAAGTTGCATATTTTTGTCCCATTATTTTTTATTCTGGCTCACCGTACCACGGGGAGAGGGGGCGAAGCCCACAGGTACGCTACTGAGGGTGAGTAAAAAAAGTCATTCACTTTTTTAGACGGGTTACAACGATAAATTATTATTATTTAAAAACTGAAAGTAGAACCATAAATTATTGCATTTGGAAAACGATTCTGAATGCAGCTCCGAGGTTAAAATATTAGCCTTTACTCGCAGTCTACTTTCTCATTTTAAATATTAAATTTTCAATCATCTTTAAACCGTTTAAACGCTTATGAAAAACATGGCAGGGATAGGAATGCAACGGTGAATATAAATATGCTTTTATTTACCAGTATGAACATTTTACACTTTTTATTGAAATTAGTAATTTAATATAATATTGTAAACACGTTTCGTATTTGTATAGGTAGGCGCGTTATCTATGCCAAAAATCACACAGTAAACCAATTATATTTACAGCTGAGTTTTATTATACAAAATAATTTATTTAAAATTTGTATTCACCGTGTATATAGGTGCGTATCTACCTATTTTATAGTTTAAATCAGGTATTAGCTATGAAATAAGTAAATATAATTTTTAAATATTACAAGAAATATTGCTTTGAAAAATTAGCCAAGTTATTAATAATTTATTGTACTATAGGTAGGTACGAGGTACCAATCATGATTTTCAAACAATTCTAGTAGTTATATACAGATTGTTTTCATGTTATTATTGTATTGCTGCCTACCTATTTCCAAGTAAAAAACATGTATTCAGCTGATACAGACCTACGTAGCATTATATTATTTATATTTACTGTCATTATGAACTAGGTACAAGAATAATTACCAGGATAATATTCTGTAATATTTAATATATTTTATTATTATTTTGAAAATGAAAACAGAATTATTTAGTGGCGGCGTGAGAGTAGTTCTGTGCGTCTTATTACTCGTAGGTTCTTTTTTAATAATAAATAGGTTGATGGCTAGGTCTTTATTAGGTGGTCGTTAGATAACTAAATAGGAAGTATATGCCCCACTTGTCATT